TATAACAGGCCGGTTGGTCAGTTGGCCTTCACTTTCAGTGCGAAGCCAAATTCACTGGATAATTTTTGTCTACACCGATTATTGGTCAGCTTCCTTCATATTTGTCTGCATTCACATCAACAAACCAGTCTTGGTACAATTTACGTTCAAATAGTTACGTTCAGCTGGACGTTCTGATAGGACGGTCTGATTATGGCGAGGCAGCTTTTATCTGCATGGAACGATCTGCAAAAAAATGTAAAATTGGATCAGTTCCCTGAGTGATTTTAAGATAATTGTTAAAGATCTGTATCAGTCTATTTGCTCTTGTGGTTTTGACTCTGATTTGATTTTGTTGGTTGTGGTCGTGTTGCTTCTTTGTTAAATGTTTTTTATGCTGCCTTCTTGGCCAGGGCTCACTTGTAAAAGAGATTTTTAATCTCAGTTTGATTTCAGTGGTTAAATAATGGTAAATTAAATAAATAAACATAGCAGACTTTTTTTTCTTTTTAAAAAGGTATTTTTTTTAATTTATTTATTTATTTTTTTTGGAAGAAGTTACTGCCTTACTGACACATTTGTAAGATCACATTAAGTCACATTAAACTAAAATTTTCTTGTGTATTATTTTTTCTTCTCTGGGCTCCACTCTGGGATGTTTGTGTGGGTTTATGCACCAAAAACAATCATAATTAATTTCTGCATGACTGTTTACAAACCTTCTTTATCCTTTGAATTAAACAGAATGTGCCTTTAACACTAATGTATGTAAATTACCTCTATTCTGATTGGCTGCTCGTATTGTGTCTCAATAAAAAAAGCAGTTTGGGCTGAAACACTTCTTGTAACTTTTTTAAAAGGTCAACAATGTTTATATAAATCTCACTTTTTTTTTCCCCCCAAAAACAAGTGAGAATAGTTTGGTTTTTCCAAGATAAATGCACAAAAATCTCTCCCTTGGGCTTGTGCTCTGAGAAACAGGTCAAAGGTTCACTACATGGAATCTTAATCAGGTTACAGCCCTTCCTCAAACCGCCGTCTTAAAAAACAAAGAAAAACCAAACTAGATTCTCCTCTTTCCTGGTGTCTTGCACAATAGTGCCCCTATTTGGGATGCACCAGGTCCGCCTGGCCCTGCGGCAGACCCTTTTGTTGCCTGTGCTCAGCAAACAGTGATCTCCATTCAGAAACAGTGGCGGCCCCTGAGCCCCTGACTGAGGTTGGCATTAGCCTGCGGAGGTCCGAGCACCAAAGCCTCATTAATCACTCGCTGGATCGGTGTCGCTGCCTGTGTCCCACACATACAGATGGGGCCTCGTGACCCCCTCTAACGTATTCCCCCTCCCCGCCCACCGGCTGCAGCCTAACATGGGGGGGGCGTGTGGAAGTGCCTTAGGGCCTACCAGTGTGAAATGAAACATGAAGTATATGATGCTTATTTTAAGATGATATTATTGATAATTAAATATTGGCTGATATGGTTTTATGTGATCAGCATCGGCGTTAAACTCGTTTACAAGAAAACTGCTTTTTAAAATAACTAGAAGGAAAAGTTTGTGAACAAACTTTAGGTTGGCTCGACAGTCATTGTTGTGAAATCCCAGGTGCTGCTGAAGTGTTTGTTATTCCAGGTAGTTGCTAAGACGTTGCTAGGCTGTTGCTAAGGAAACCAAGGTGGTTGTCAAAGTGTTGCTAGGCCGTTGCTATGAAATCCAAGGTGGTTGCTAAGGTGAAATCCCAGGTGGTTACTAAAGTGTTGCTAGGCCATTTGTTGTGGTATCCCAGGTGGTTGCTAAAGTGTTGTTAGGATGTTGACATGAAATTCTAGGTCGTTGCTAAAGTGTTGAGAGGCCGTTGCTATGAAATCCCAGGTAGTTGCTAAGATGTTGCTAGGCCATTGCTATGAAATCCCAGATGGTTACTAAGGTGTTGTTAGGCAGTTGTTGTGGTATCTCAGGTGGTTGTGAATGTGTTGCTAGGCTGTTGCTATGAAATTCTAGGTGGTTGCTAAGGTGTTGCTAGGTTGTTGCTATGAAATCCCAGGTAGCTGCTAAGATATTGCTAGGCCGTTGCTGTGAAATCCCAGGTGGTTGCTAAAGTGTTGCTAAGACGTTTCTATGAAATCCCAGGTAGTTGTTAAGATGTTGCTAGGCCGTTGCTATGAAATTCTAGGTGGTTGCTAAAGTGTTGCTAGGCCTTTGCTATGGAATCGAAGGTGGTTGCTAAGGTGTTGCTAGGCCGTCGCTATGATATCCCAGGCGGTTGCTGGATACAGGCACATTGGTATGTGGATATATGTGCTGGTACCTGCGCGAGTCTGTATTTACTGTCTATGAGGAGCAGTTTGTGGGGGGGGTTTGTTTATGAAGAAAAGTTGTACGAAAACCGTACGTACGCTCGGTCCCACAAACACAAGTGCACTCTTCTTATGTAGGCTCTACGGTCCTGCCAAGTGTCGTGGTTCTAGATTGAAAACTGCCACCTGTGAAAACAGAACAAAAAAGTGTAGAATAATGAAAACAAACAGGGAGTTGACTTTGTCAAGCCAACTTAATTAGCCTCCTGTATTAGTCATCAAGGCTGTGGACGTAAAACGTAATGCATTGTAGAGACGTTGAATAACAGTAAAGATTACCTGGCACTTTATTTTGAGTAGTTCGGGCTGCAGAAGGCTGACGAGTCAAACTCGGAGGAGAAACCCACCATCATACCAGTATTTAAAATATGTATCACTTCTTTGATGGTCAGTTTTGGCTGTGCTGAGGTTTATAGCTCAACAGAAGGTGTTTACCCATTTTACCTTGTTGGCACAGCAAGAAGGAGTAACATTTAGCAGCAGTAAACAAGCACTATTGCAGTCAGTAGACAGTAAACACTGATCAGGGGCAGCAGAGCTGTGTTTGTGCACCTGAGAACAGGACATAAAAGGCTTTGCACAGTCACAAAATCCGTTTTGGTGCTGCAGAGTGGCTGTTGTGTTTTAATAAACAGGTGCAGTGGTGCTTCAGCACCTGTGAAAAGATCAAAGGGGCTGTCTTTGCTCTTTTGTGCTTTTGCCTCATTGCCTATGCATTTGCAGGAGTTGCCCTCTTAAAGTGCAGAATACTGGGAGGAGATTATTATAATGAAGCACCTACTTCCACTTACCAATAAAAATACAGGCACTGTTAAACGCTGTGAAAAGATTTGCTCAGAGAGAAAAAGTGTCAAACATGTTTATGTATTTTTATTGGATAAAACAATAGTTTAATCTCAGTAAATGATCTGACAGTTTTCTTTTTAAAAGCACATTTTGGAAATATTTCACTGCGATCCCTGCTTTACTAAAGCTACTCTTAGCTTAGCTTTTTTTAAGAGCATTTCAAATTGGATCAGTTTATCTCCCTGAGTGATTTTAAGGTAATTGCTAAAGAACTGGTTTTGTAATAAAAATGTTTTATTTGAAGAAGTTACTGCCTTACTGACACATTTGTAAGACAACACTTGGCTTTCCATTAAGTCACATTAAACTACATTTTTCTTGTTTTATCTTTTCTTCTCTGGGCTCCACTCTGGGATGTTTGTGTGGGTTTATGCGCCAAAAACAATCATAATTAATTTCTGCATGACTGTTTACAAACCTTCTTTGTCCTTTGAATTAAACAGAATGTGCCTTTAACACTAATGTATGTAAATTACCTCTATTCTGATTGGCTGCTCGTATTGTGTCTCAATAAAAAAAGCAGTTTGGGCTGAAACACTTCTTGTAACGTGAGTAAATAGATGGTAAACTGTTGTAAAAGAGGTGGATATATGCAAATGTGACATCACAAAAACAGTATATTCAAAACAGCCTGTTTTAGCTGGTTAGTTGTCATATATGGACCAGAAACTGAACAGTGTGTTTTGAAACGTCAGTGTTTACATAAATCTCACTTTTTCCATAAAAACAAGTGAGAACAGTTTGGTTTTTCCAAGATAAATGCACTATGAAATCCCGGGTGGTTGCTAAGGTGTCGTTAGGCAGTTGCTATGGTATCCCAGGTGGTTGCTAAGGTTTTAGTTTCATAGGGTTGCAAAAATATCGTTCAGCTCATCTCACCAGCCGTAAATATGTTTCAGAACAGAAAGGAAATAATTACTTTTATTTCCTCAAATTTATGACGAATTAATTTCTTATTTCCTCAAAATAATCACTGGGAATGTTGAAACAATCAAATACTTTCACAACAAATAATGTTTTTTCCAATAAGTCATTCTGACAATAAATATTGAGAAGTTAAGTCATCATTTAGACCTAAGGAGTGAACCTAAGTTTGAACCTGAAACTGACGATCTTTTGGAAGCTGCTGTGAGCCAGATGTGGATATATTGCACTGGTCATGTGCTAATCATGAAGCTGCACCTGTGTTCATTTACATGGGAGTTCTTAGTAGATAACCAGCTTAACTGGCTGATCCCACCAGCACAAAGTGTCATGAGACTGTTGGTAATAAGCGCCTCCTTTAGTAAATCTGCCCCTATTAAGCAATTAATATTGGATAAATAGGGTCGACAACTAGCGACAACAGCTATCAAACAAACTAAAGTGTGTGGTGCTGAGGCATGTTGTGCCAGTAGATTTGTAGGGCTAATAGATAACATCATCACTTTATTGTGAAATATGCCCATCAGTATGAGAAAACAGAAAATTATTACCACATTTTCTGCTGTTTTCTAACTAGTACTCGACCGATATGAAATTTGGGGGCTGATAGTGATTTTTAAGGGGATTACAAAAAAACAATATTCAATAATATCAGTTGTAGTTCAGATTTGAATTTAATATTGTCGTATAATGATAGGAAGAAAATACTTTACTGACTGATATAATTGTCAACTGTCTGAATTCTCTGGCTTAGTTGAAGTTGCATCGTATAACAAACACCATGTGGGAAATCATGGCAAAGAATGGCAGCGCTTTGTACAAAACCACCTTTTGTTTTTATCGTTAGTAAACCTTTCTGCGCGTTTCTCATGAACCTTTTCCTCTGTTCCTATAGGCATTCGGCAATGCAAAGACTGCCCACAACAACAACTCCAGTCGTTTTGGGAAGTTCATTCAGGTCAACTATCTGGAGAGCGGAGTGGTTCGGGGGTAAGTGCATTGTATCTCTCCATCTACTGGAGTCCAGCACTGGAAGCACTACTTCAGTAGTCCAGATAATTCTAGATCTTGGAGCTTGGTGTGGTAATTTAGTGCTGGAACTGGTCTTTGGATGCAGTGCTTGGCACAAGCCATAGGAAATAGGGCACAGTGTGAAGAGGTATGTTTTTATTTTTCTTTCTTTTGAAGCCCTTATTGACCCCTTCCTCCTGCTCCAACGTCTGTGGGGTTATTATTCACGTCAGAGTGAAATCACATGTGTAATTTCCTCCTTAAGCCCTGAGGGAAGCTGCACGACTAGAAACAGGGAACAAATCGAGACTTGCACAGTGGTGATAGTTCCCCTTAGCATGATCCGCCCTTTAGGGCTGCACAGTGTGAACAAAACACTAGTATTGTGATGACATCAGTATATTGTGATTGCGATACAACATGCAATATAAAAACACATTTTGTTAAAGCAGTTCACATTTTATTTAATTTTATTTAAGCTCTCTAAGAAGCTCATCTTGAGTTGTGATTGGCCAGGATGCTCAGCTTAAGTTGTGTGATTGACCAGCATTCTTACAGCAAGACACTGTGATTGGATTAGAGAGCCCATTTAAATATTGCACCCTTCTGCGATCTCAGCATTGCAAAAGATAGTGTTGTGACAACAGTTAACAAAGGACATGCAGCCCGACAGTTTGAGTTCCTGTTAACGTACAGATGATGACCACATGCGTTATCACTGTTTCACAGATTAATTTCTTTATGCATATGGCTTCACAAGATGGTAAATAGTTGTTGAGTTGCTTTGCATACTTAAGCTTTAGGACCCAAAGCCCACTATTTGTGGGCAAAGATGTAGTTGACTTCTAGCTTTCATAACTTCAGAACAGTTTAAGCTGCAGACATAATACACACATCAGACCGTTCAGAGGACCCAGCCCAAAATAGGTAGCATGGCATCATTGAGCTGTGATCGAGTTGTGGCCCTCATGTTCCAACAAAGGGTTAAAACAGCGACAAGATTTACACATCAGATCACTCATCAGACTCTGCTTCACCATCCAGAGTGATTTCATCCGCCTGTGACCGTCACCCAAACCCCACTGACTACTGTTATATTACATCTCTGCTTTTAGCCTTCATATTATAAACAAAGGGTTAAAAATAGCACCATGATTCACGCATCAGAGCACTCCGAGGAACCTGCCATCACTAGCCAGAGTGAGAGAAACCAGCTCTAACATCCCACAACCCAGAAATGCAGCACAAACACACAGCCAGATCACTGTAAAACCTGATATTAGCTCTCTGCTTCAGCCTTCATATGGCAACAAAAGGGTTAATGGTCCAGTATGGCATTGTGGGCCATGCCAATTTCTGATATCTTACATGCACATATCCACTGATGCATAAACATTTATTAATTGATTCATTTATTTATATATTTGTTTTTTCCCTTTTGTCCCTTTTTTTTTAATCCCTTGAGTCATGTAAAGCCAGCCACTGCATCTTTTCGACCTGCCTCTAATGCAACATCATTGACAGCTCAACACGTTTGGAGGAGAGCGCTAACTTCCAATTCTGATCTGCCAGCTAACAGATACTTGCATTAGCTAGCATCACATTGAGAGACTGGGGGAGAGGGAAGGCCATCCTCCCCACCCAGAGAAAGCTCTCCTGGACACCTCACTGCGACTGGCTGTAGCATCACCAGGGACTGAACACACGATCTCCTCATCATGGAACCAATGCTTAGACGCTTGCAACACTCAGTAAAACCCATAAAAATCTCTAAAATGTAGAAATTGGCACTACATTTACCTTAATTAGCAGAACAGAGTAATGTAGGATTAATTTCTGTGTGGCTTTACATGTAGTAAAATGAGTAAAGCACTGATATTTTAGTGCAGTAGTCAATCTCATCTGCTCTTCTGGGGCCATATTACAAAAACTTCTTAAGTCTGAATCTTATTTGTTTAGTCACCATAACAACTTTAGTTAGGACTGAATTTAGGATAGAAGCTATTACAGAGCATAACAGTTCATAGTCTTATCTATTAACGCCAGATAAGAAAACAGTATTACATAAACATTATAAGTAGACTAAATTTCCTAATTTTTGTCCAAACTTTAAGATAAACCCCAGAGGGTCTTAACTTCTGTTTTTAACTGTCTGTTTCTATTGTTTTGTGCGGTGTCAGGCAGCACAGTTCACTATAACTGGAATAATGATGCTGCATTTATCTACAATGAAAACGGTGCTTTGTCTTCTTTTTTCTTTTAAACAGTGTTTTTTAAGAACTCAGACACTGCAGACTCGATCTCCACCGTCCCCTCTTATTACCTTCGTTTGTTAATGTTTGATAAAAACTCGTCAAATAAAAATTTGCAGTGATGGTGGTGAATAATGAGGAGGCAGAGCTTGACGTGTGTCTGTTTAATTAGGAGGAATACCGATAGCGCGCTCGGCTAAAGCGTTTGGGGAACTGAAACTGGAGTGGCGACGCTCTGATAAACAGCGCAAAGCGCTGCCACAATATTCTTAACTTTGTTTATCGCGCTTTAGTTTTATTTGACTTTCTTTACACCGGTAACGGCAGCTAACGTTAGCTGTCTGACTAACTAACTTGATTACATGTTTGTTTCAGCTGTGCGCGTAGGGTAGGTTGCTAGGTAACAGACACGACAGTTGATTGTCGACTTTGATCGAGTAAGTTAAGATTTTCAAACTTGAGATAAGAGGCTATAAGATAAGATTCTTAAATCAAGATAAGATTTGCTTCTGTAATACGAACTTGTAAAAAAAAACCTGTTAGATCTAAAGTTAAGGCAAAAAGATAGGAAGTTTCTGAGCTCCTTGCCAGAAATGTGTAGCAACTGTAGCAACAAGCTTTAGATTTCTGACAATAAATGAGTTCCTTTCTGCAGTTTCTCCTTAGGTTTGATTTCCTTCTGTAAAGCTTGACATGTTTGTGGGCGGAGCATGGATAGGATAGCTACACGTTACAAGAGGCTGAATGCGTGCCGAAGGTTTTCCTTCAAATTAACATTTTAAAATATGAAATTAATTGAAATTTTTTAACAAAGATTGCAGTGAAATCTTCCAAAATCTGTAATGATCCTACACGTGTCTTCTGAGTTTTTATGTTGTGTTCATGATAGTAAAATAGTGGAAAATCTGAAGATAAGATTTCTTTGAGGACCGTTTTGCCTGCATGTAATTCTTCATCATGAATGTGTTTTTAAAAAGACGCTGAACCACTGAATTACCCAAATTTTGAAAAATTAGTGGATTTCTGCTCAGGGGTCGCATCTCCTCACAGACTGAGAGGAGCCATCTTCCACTGACAGTCAGAAACTCTGACCCCCTCTTTCAATTGGTATGTGATTGGTTCCTAGACGCCTCACGGCTGTAAAAATATGGATTAATCTTTTGAATCTCCCTGTATTTTGGCCCAATTGTAATCATTTGAGTTGGACACAGTTATTTCAGCTGACTTCAGTTAGTTTCCACATCAGATTTCACAATAATCTTAAGCCACAGCAAACAGAAGGTGAATTGAGTGTGGTGGGTTGGACAGATAAATGTTAAATAGAAGAATAAGTTGTAAATCAGTAGTAAATGCATTCATTGAGACATTGTGGGACTTATGAAAACAAAAAGGTCCTCACTTCTCAATTTGGTGCCCTCATTTAGAGCGTGACGCAAATAATGCTTGTTTATTTGTTAGTTATGTCGCTAATTCTAGAGTTTTAGCATGCTTGCTTGCTGAGTAAGAGGGTTTTTGGCTCATATTTTCACACTCAATAAAAAATAGCTTTGTTTGACTACACGAGATTTTGTCTAACAGAGACATTTATGTAAAAGTGTGCACGTATACAAATTTGATTCTACTACCAATGTTGGCTGCCTAGTAAACATTGCTAGGAGGCCAAATTGGCCACTTTTGGCTGTTACTTTTAATAGATGCATATAATGAACAAGAAAAGGCAATTAGTGGAGAATGTGGAGGAATTATGTGGAGATTCTAGACTTTAAAGCTGTACCACATGCTTGTAAGTAGAGCAAAGTTAGTAGGAGAGATTTTATGATTTGAATTCTGTAATTGTCTTGTTTTCTGAAAAGAAAACTGTCTGTTATATTTTTTTGTCATTACTTGACAGTGCAGTGCAGACTCGAACCTGTCTGCAGAGTGTAAATCCTCTGTAAAAGTGATTCATTTTGTGACTTACAGTGTAGTTAAATATACACCGATCAGGCATAACATTATGACCACCTCCTTGTTTCTACGCTCATTGTCCATTTTATCAGCTCCACTTACTATATAGGTGCACTTTGTAGTTCTACAGTTACAGACTGTAGTCCATCTGTTTCTCTGATACTTTGTTAGCCCCCTTTTACCCTGTTCTACAGTGGTCAGGACCCCCATGGACCCTCACAGAGCAGGTGGTGGATCATTCTCAGCACTGCAGTAACACTGACGCGGTGGTGGTGTGTTAGTGTGTGTCAGAGACGACAGCTCATCTGCTGCTGCACAGTTTGTGTTGGTCATCCTCTAGTCCTTCATCAGTGGTCACAGGACGCTGCCCACAGGACGCTGTTGGCTGGATATTTTTGGTTGGTGGACTATTCTCAGTCCAGCAGTGACACTGAGGGGTTTAAAAACTCCAGCAGCACTACTGTGTCTGATCTACTCGCACCAGCACAACACACACCAACACACCACCACAACATCAGTGTTACTGCAGTGCTGAGAACGATCCACCACCCAAATAGTACCTGCTCTGTGAGGGTCCATGGGGGTCCTGACCACTGGAGAACAGGGTAAAAGGGGGCTAACAAAGTATGCAGAGAAACAGATGGACTACAGTCTGTAGCTGTAGAACTACAAAGTGCACCTATATAGTAAGTGGAGCTGATAAAATGGACAATGAGTGTAGAAACAAGGTCATAATGTTATGCCTGATCGGTGTAAATGTAAACATTTTAAATGGCGTAGCAGAAGAAGCAGTAACTGTGTTAATATATAACCCTCAGAGCCAGAATAAACCGCTTTGCTGATCCTTTTGAGTTGTTCGTGGTTTGTTTTTCAGATATGTAAAGCACTTTTCTTTCTCGTGTGTCTTTTGCAGCTGCTCGCGTGGTTTTACATGGACAGACACAGTAATAATTAAACTGACTTGCAGGGAGTCAGCCGGAGATTAGATCCAGAACAGACTCACAGCACGGTTCCTTTCTCGCACAGGGACGGGTCGTGCAGGGAGTAGCCTTTGTTCGATTTGTGAGGCTTTGTCCAAAAGTCTCAGTGTGACACAATGCTCGCAGCTGACGCTGTGTGCGGTGCACGTGCGCAGTCCTCCACAAAGCCAAGGCTGTGCCGGAGCGAGTACGGTGGCCAAGAAGGGTCAATAAACCAGATAACAAAGCTGGCAGCTTGAGAGGATGCTTTCAGTCACTTTATTGTTCTTCGGCTGAATGCAGCAGCATGCAGTCGAACCCACTCTATTGATAAGCACTGAGTAAGTGGACACTGTTTGTTGCTTTTGTATTAGAGACGATGCTGCCGCGGCTGCTGCGGCTACTGCGGCTGCATAATTACGACTTTGTTTAAACTATAGATACATAGTAAAAAAGGTTTTAGCGATGCGTGAATCGATACGGTCTGTATCAGTGTTTCGGAATGTACTGAAGTCTGAAAGTGCGATACTTATCAGATGTGTGGTCACTAGTTACATTTACTCAGTAACGTGTACTCGTTTTTGATGGATTTGTACTTTAAAATGCAAATATTTAATGTCATTCTCTTACAGCATCTGTGCAGCTTTGTGATTTCACACCTTTCACTTTGTAACTTCACTGAAAAGAGAAGTGTAGAGCCAAAACTCTCTAATACATGATATTTATGCCTTAGCAAAGCAGAGTAAGGCTGATGTTTGTGTTCTTCTTTTGTTTAATTTATTATTTCTTTATTTCTTTTGAAGATGTTAAGGAAGCCATGCCATCCGCAGCACCATTTTAGGACAGGGGTGCTCAATGTCATCAGTCATCAATGTCTGCTTTGAAAAATGATCCGCATCTGACAGATGTTTAGATTTGACTGGATTCTCAGACTGATGATGTATTTATTGTACTCCAAAAAAGCTAAATGCTTAGATGACGATGGGTTACTGCAATTATATATAATGTGTGTGTTTATAATATTATATTTCTCTGTCTGTAAGCCACATGGAGTTGGTCCGATTTTCTGCATTTTATAAGTGAATATAAACCGCCCTCGGCAGATATCTAGATGAAAAATATCTACGTCAATTGGCCCACAATTCCCTCATTATTGCATCCCTACTTCAGGGAAGATACCAAGTCAAGCTACTAACTCAATTGCCTGATTCTTTAACGAAAAAATGTTAATGTATGTCTGATATGCTGTTATGTTTCATATCATATTGTATTACATTGTGATGCAGTTTATGTCTCATATATCGCAATACACACAACATAAATACTAATACTGAGATTATATTACTGCATGTTGCATTTGCAATAGATTAAAAATGCATCGACGAATCAGTAGGCATGGTTAAAGACTGGCCTGCATTCATTTCACCAAAATAATTAGCTTTTGTTGGATTGCTTGAATATCTTGACTCATCAGAAGCTCAGCTGGAGCTGTGATTGGTTAAGAGGGCTTATTTGCAAAGGCCAGTATAGCCATAGCGATTAACAAAAACATTGTATTGTGCAGGTCCAGTTAGTGCTGGAGATGTTTTGTTTTCTGACCTGTTGGCTGGTCACTTATTAGATTTGCTCCCAAAATGTCTAGAACATTCCTTTCTGCTGATTATAGAGGCCAAAATAATCTCACCATTCCATCAAGCTTATTCTTAGATGTGAGCAAACTACGGGTAGGGAAGTACAGAGGAGAAGACGGGACAACTTGTTTTTGTTCATACCTTCAGTTAAATCAGATTAACGCTTTTATTTTGGCGTTTTGGGCCAAGGTAATGCTGCCATGTGTGCTGGGTTGAACCACTCTGGCCTGAGTGTCTTTGTTTGGTTTGCAGTATTGTTCAGGCCATCTGCCTCAGCTGTGCCATTGACCCGAAGCCCCTCTCGCACTCGAATCCCCTGATTTATCCACTGCGTTGCCAGTTTGACTGCCAGCAGTCTGGTCTCTTGATGATCTTTCATTGATTTTTCTTTTCTTTCTTTCCCTCTTTCCCATTCTCTGCTCTTGCAGGGCGGTGGTTGAGAAGTACTTGCTGGAGAAATCCCGTCTGGTGTCCAGAGAGAAGAATGAAAGGTAAATAAATAAACAATAGTGATTTAGAACAAAAGAGAAAGACAAATGCAAACTGATACGCTTTGTATTTGTCATGTAAACTTCTGTTTCTGTTTATTTATCTTCATACTTCTCTTATTTTACTCTGTGTCCCATTGAATTATGGTTTTATTCGCTCTGTCGCCACCAGAATCATCTGTGACTGATGGATTGGTCAATGCGACACTTTTAAAGGGTCCAAAATAATGGAAAGCCAAATGCAATCACTGTTAGTTTCAAAACATACCGTTCACTCCACGGTCCATGCAGTTCACGTATGAAAACTAAACTGCTAAAACAGCCTGTTTTGAATTGATTGTTGGTGCAAAAACGATATACATTACATACATCCACTTATTCAGCCTGTAGCAGTTTAGCCCCACCCATTTATATTGAGATTAATTAGCATTTCATCCCAGACTGCCACAATACAGGACATCCAATCAGAACAGAGGTCATTTACATATAGCAGCCTTAAAGGCACAGAAAAAAGAGAACCATTTTTTACACACCCTTTAAAGGGTTCTTTAGTAAAGACAGTGGCTATATAGAGAACCATCACAACTCAAAGAACAGTTGCATACATGCATACATGATTGTGTGGTTAAGTGTTTCTCATTCGTTTCTTATGCGTCGTTCCTTATTGAACCTTTTTTTATAATGGTTCTCTATAGCACTGAAAAGGGTTCCACTGTTGTTACAAGTCAAATGACCTTTTTGGTACTGTATAGAGCGTAAGGGAAAGAGAGAGGTTGGAAAATGGTCATGTAAAGATGAATTATGACTGTTTTTGGTGTATAAAACTATGTTAATGTGGTAGGTGGACAGTGTGGAAAAGAAAAAAAAAGAAAAATGAAGGATGTGGGCTCTAACTCAGAGTCAAATGAGTTACTTTTTTACTTAATATAAAGATTTACACATCAACAAAACATGCAGCAATTCAACATTGTTGATTGAGTTTTATGAACTAAACCAAAAAAAATAATAAGAAACCACTGTAACAGAAAGCAAAAATGGGAAAGATGCTTCTTCAGTAATGCTGTTTTTAAAGTCTGTTACTGTTACAGGCTTTGTGAACTTGAAATGTAGGATGTGGGCTCTTTAACTTATTGAGTTGTTCAGTGACAGAGTCGAATGATGGGGTAAAACACTTTTTGATTAAAACACTTAAAAAACTGACTCTGTCAGTGGAGAATTGGCCTGTTGAATGACACTCAAGATTAGATAAAATGCCCCCATGAAAGTCAAAATTACCCCTGAAAATGAATGCCAGAGTGCAAAATTTGCCCTGGATTAAAAAAACAAATTCAGTCATGATCTTGTTTCTGTACTCTTTGTGTGGGTATTTCCCTATTACTCCTCCAGCAGCTCTCTGTATTAGCGATAGCAGCTAATTATAGACGGTGAGTGTTGCCGCCCTGCTGGGCGCTTAGTCGCTATCTGATAGCAGGACTGGAAAAAACTCCTTCTGAATGGGTGTAGTGTAAGGAGAGCTGTTCGAATCGGTTGTGACGGCGCTTTGTCTCCCACACAGGAACTACCACGTTTTCTATTACCTGCTGGTGGGGGCGTCCGAGGAGGAACGCAAGGAGTACAAGCTCCTGCAGCCGGAAAACTACTTCTACCTCAAGCAGGTGAACATACTGTTTTGGTTGGGGATGGGCGATTTTACGATATATCGCTATCACGAAGTAAATAAGCTTTTCTGAGCATATCATGTACACTGTTAAGATTAATACATTGACCATACGCTAAAGGACTTTTAAAAGTCTGACACTCTCTCATATCTAAAGACACTGTCTGTGTTTACATGCAGAGATTTTTGCCAATCTGATTGAACACATTCTGATTACAGATTAAGACTGAGGTGTTTATTCTCAATCTACTCAACAATGTGATTGAAAACCTCTGTTTACATGCTCACTACAAGTAATCTGAGCCAAAATTACACGCATGCGTAGAGAACTGCTTAAGGTAGACGTTACCATGACAACCAGCATCACGTGAGTCCAGTCAGAGTGAGTTGAGCAGCAGTGAGCAGTGCTTGTGTTTTTAATTGCTTTAAAATGATGTCAGACTCAGGAAAACGTCCTTCACATGTCCTTATTAAAGAAGGCCGAGAGGAAGACGTCGTGTTCTGAGACACATAAGCTGGACGTCCGTCCCACCGCCGTCTTTTAAAGACCAGAGCATAAACTTCGTCTCCTCTGCAGACCAGTTTCTGCTCCGCCATGTTGAGCGTTATAAACTTTCAACATGATCAGAACGGACTTAAACTTTCCGATTGGGAATGTAATCAGATACAGGCGTTTACACGGATATTATTCTTCTATTTAACGGATTATTTACAGGATTACCCACCTCAGACTAGTCTATTCTGATTGAGGTGTATACATAGACGTATTCTATTCTGATTGATCTATTAGTTGGATTATGAACGGATTATTAGGCTGCATCTAAACGTGGCTAATGTCAGATTTTTTAGTCACAGACTAGGATTTTGCAAAGACTGGGGATCTTGCAGAGTCACTATTTGCAAGATTGCAACTAGATTTTTGAGAAATTTACAAGAAGAACCCTTTTTGTTCTCCACTCTAGTGGGACAAATGGGAAGACACGCTGGCTGGGAATGCTCAGTCCAGTTCACTGTAGAATTGTATATTCTGGCAGATCATCACCCAGTATTTTTTTAATTAACCTGTAAACCGTGCAGTTACTTTTTTACTTAATATAAAGATTTACACATCAACAAAACATGCAGCAGTTCAGCATTGTTGATTGAGTAACAGAAAGCAAAAATGGGAAAAAAGATGCTTCTTCAGTAATGCTATTTTTAAAGTTGGTTACTGTTACAGGCTTTGTGAACTTGAAATATTTAAACAGCCAATATACATTTTTAGATTAATATGATTATTGTGTTAAAAGGGGAGCAGATTCGACTTTTTTGCAAAGCTCTCAGGCACTCGTGCATGCATTTTTTTACCCTTGCAATCTCTCTTTATCTCTCTATCGCGTGGCGTGCATGCACTTGCTCAGCCCCACTCTCTCGCGCACCCCTGGCATGTCACTGTTTGCATGAGCTGGGACTTAAAACTTAGGACAAAACTTAAAATCAACATGGTTGATTTCATCGCAACGTCAAGACAAGAAAAAGACTGACCTAAGACTGCCGTCCTGACCACCTTACACTAAACGATCGAGATGACGAGAGGGCGACGCAACTCTAGCAAGACTCATGATTTTTATTCTGACATTGGAAATTTGTCTGTGACAGTGAAATCGCTTTCAGAAGTCGTTTGGTGTAAGGCTGTTATCAGGAACACTGATCAACTATGTTCCATTGTGATCAGACTAGGTCTCTTGAGAAAGGATGTCACAAGAACCAATACTTTGGTACCAGGTTGATGCCGTAACGACGGTGTAACTGTAGACAGAAGAACATAGCAATGCCCACCGACAGTAGAGCAGAACAACCTGAAAATAAAGTGCTGCCTCAGGGAAGTCGTTACCAAACACAGTAGTAATCGTTTCAGGGCCTTTGGGCTGCGAGCTAACGCGCAGTGTCTATCACAAACATATGTTAGACATCTTAAGGATAACAGAGCCTGGTCCTCATTGGCTGTGCACTCCACAGATAGTGATGTAGACACAAACTGTAGTGAACTCATTTACATTTACATTCATGGCATCAGGCGGATGCTCTTATCCAGCGTGATTTACGGCTTACATCTGCTCATGTAGGGGAAGGTAGTGTTAGCAGTCTTGCCCAAGGACTCTTACTGGTAGGGCATAGGATGGTCGAGCCACGGCCTGCAGTGTGGAGGGCAGAGGGGTTACCCACTGTAGTGTCCCAACCACAGCACATAGCCTGTTGAAAGATGTGGCATTTGTGGGTATCTTCACATGTAAAATTCAAATTTATGTTCTTCAAAGGAATATCTGATATGTGAGCACCGCGAGAGCTGCCAGATTACGCTGGGTGCTTGCCATGTGTGGCCGTTATGAAAGGCTGCCTTGGTTAAACGTGTACAGTCATATGCAAAAATTTGGGCGCACCTGGTCTATTTACATGTTTTGTTGATTTTCTGAATGATAAGTTAACACATCCTTTACAGGGGTGTGCACATTGTAAAGCACAATTACTGTTTATTTGCTGAATTTAACATATGGGGAAAAAATAAAACACAAAAAATGTGGCATTTTTATTTTTCCAATATAATAAACTTAACAAATAAATACAGCTTATTTTCACTTAGATACTCTACAAAACATCTAAATTGACCAGGAGTTTTCAGACTTTTGTGTACAACTGAATGTGTTGCTGTGTGTATTTTTTGGTGATCACTGATCAGTGACTCCCTGTCACTATTGGAATACGATACCTCTATGTTCTGTGAAATCGCACCTTGGCAATGTTTATTCTTGGAGTGCCGAAGCTTGTTCATCTTATCCCCACCACAGCACAACTTTACCATAGAGGACGCAGATGACCTTCGGCATGACTTTGAGAGGCTGCAGCAGGCCATGGAGATGGTGGGCTTCCTTCCCGCAACTAAGAAACAGTGAGTAAACTGTTAAACGGAGTGTGTTCTGTTATTCATGCCAATGTGTGAAACTCAAGTTCCATGTTAAGCTTATCCATTGGCAGTTATTTCTGGACAAATTAAGCATATTAAAAGTACACGATCAGGCATGGTAACACTAAGAGGGGAAAATGCCCCCTTTTTAAAGTGATGCCAATTTACTGTAGAGCTAAACCATATCTGTACATGCCTTTAGCATGTATAGGATGATGATGCTTAAAGCAACACACAGTTAGGGGAAATAAACTGGAACAGCATACAGTTCCCGCGTGGGGTAACAAGTCCCCCTGGCGAATCTTGGTTCCATTTGTCCGATCATTTCTAGTTTTTGTGTTTTTTGGAAAAAAAAATAAAATTAATTAGTAATTAATAAATTAAGAACCCACACTAAAATGCTCTATTAATTCATGTCCATGATTACAGTTCATTTGACTAAGTTGTGACAAAAGACAAATGATAGTAATCAGTTCTGTTTATTAATTAAATAGTTGTGAATGTATTAACATGTCAGTTTATTATTATTGTTATTATTGTTATTGTTATTTAAGTGCAAATAATTAGCGCCCATTGACACAAATCAAGATGTAATTCAGCTGATTGGCAAAACGTCGATACAAACTCCTCTCCGGCAAAGTTGTCTAATTCTTGCTAATGATCGTTTTTTTTTCTCTTTCCACGTCTTATAATCATTTTAGCCACTTTTCTTGTACAACTGAAGCTAAATGCATAGATGACTATTATCTAGTGACAAAAATTTGATCATCAATCTGGTCTCATGTACTTAAAAGTGCACAAGTGACTGCCCAGCTCAGTAATGGCTTTGAGTCACTGGGTTCAGCAGTTCGTCCGCCACGTTGCTCATACTCTGCACAAGTTGACTCCTAAAGTTTATGTTGGCTGAAGAGGAAGTACAATGTCTGAGTGCGCGTGAGTCATTTTTGTTTGATGGGGATTTAAAATGCTTTGTTGCCCTTGCAGGATTTTCTCAGTCCTGTCTGCCATCCTGTATCTGGGCAACGTCACCTACCGGCGGAAATCCACAGGGAGGGACGAAGGGCTGGACGTGGGACCTCCAGAAGTCCTCGCTAATCTCTCAGATCTGCTGAAGGTACGACAGCAGTGACAGTGGGGGCTGGCCGATATGATGAAAAGTTATTGTTATTGCGATGAATTGCAATATGTCATAAATATCGTAATACATTTGGTCACAAAACTCTTTTCAGAGTATACAATGTTAAGTACATCATAAAAATGACAGTTAGACCAGGGGTTGGCGACACACGGTCTGGTTTATAATCAATCACAGCTGGTTTCCCAATACATTTAATCTGCAATGAGAAACTGACAAACACTAATAAGCCGTGAGGCTGGTCAGCTTCTCATTCACCAGCTCCACCATAAATGGTGCCTGAGATGCCACAATGTAACTGCTGCACCACTTAAGGTGTCTTGTTAAAAGTTGAACGTTGAGAGACATTTTACAAGAAACTATTCAACTTTTGCGGAAAAGTTTCCTGCCAGAGATGCGAGAAAAGCAGCTGTAGCTGAGCTAAAGCTTAAAGCAGAGCAGAGTTGAGTCTGCATTTTCATTTATATTATAGTTTTTAGCCTATACTAGTACATCAGCACATACTGAGGCATATTTACAGCCTAAATGGTAAAGTGTTACAATAAAATGGGCATAAAATGTTGTGGCTCCCTAAGTGGACAAAATGGCTCTTCTTAACATTTGTGTTGCGACCCCTGAGCTATGATATCTGAATGTGGTCACGATTATATCCAAATGTATTCCAGTTGGCTGTTATGAATAACTGTGAAATGTTAATGTGTGTGTTTCATTTCGCAGGTCAAAGAGGAGCTGCTGGTCGAGGCTCTTACGAAGAGGAAAACGGTTACAGTCAATGATAAGCTGATTCTGCCCTACAGTCACAGTGAGGTAAAGTAACCACAGAATCCTGAACTCTTCACCCTGCAGGCTGATCTGGACATGTGTGTTTTGTAGCCAACAGCTAATCATTCCAAAACTACTCCAACAGCTTATTCTTTCTTAGCTATTAGTTTATTGTTCCATAGCCAATTACTAATAGTTACCCATGCACCCCCAGGCGATCACAGCGCGGGACTCAATGGCCAAGTCTCTGTACAGCGCCCTGTTTGACTGGATCGTCCTGCGAATCAACCACGCACTTCTCAACAAGAAGGATATGGAGGAATCTGTTCCGGTAAGGAACAGTCTGTTCTGTACTGGACCTGAAGCCTTTTCATCTTACAGTTGCACACTCTTGGAGATCAAGTGCTTTTCATTTTCCATTTCTTTTAATTTGTTTTTTTTTTTTTTGTGTGTGTGTTGGTTATTTCAAGATGTGTATGTCTAGATAAAGAAGAATTCCACTAATCATTTTCTGTATAAGTCATTCAGAGTGGTTTGAGATGTTCTAGACAAACTTACCGAGTCAGAATTGTTCACAGTGGTGGTGATAGGAACCAGACGTCTGAAGAGTTTAATGCATTATACACATGGCGACCCCTGGTTCCTATCAGCACCACTGTAAAGAAAGCTGAGTCTGCAAGTTTCTCCACGATGAACAGTTTCACATCACACCACTCTGAATGGCTTTGTTTACAGCTCAGCCACTGAATTATGCAAACATATTTCTCTTGAAAGCCTGTGAGGTTCCTGAGAATAGTATTTGTTGTAATTAATCGTTTTGTCTTTGTTATTTATTAATGGTCCTGTAAGCTGAAGGTACAGATGACAGTCCGCTGTCTAGAGCAACTACCTAAATATTAAGTACTAGCAACGGAGCCTTAGTGTCATAGTGTGTCAACTGAATACTCTTAATTTAAAAAACTGAATATTCTTAATTTCAATGTGGGAAATCGTTTCTCTGAAGACCTTCAGTACAGTCTGATTGCTTCTGCGTCCATCTTAACTATTGTCTCGTTTCTTCTCCATGTTCCAGTGTTTGTCCATAGGCGTTCTGGACATATTTGGCTTTGAGGACTTTGAGACGAACAGCTTCGAGCAGTTCTGCATCAACTACGCCAACGAACAGTTGCAGTATTACTTTAACCAGCACATCTTCACGCTGGAGCAGGTCAGACTCGCAGTACTGCTCTTCAGTGGGGGCTGGTCTGTGTGTGAAACACCTGTGGGGACAGTGGTTTTCTGTAGCTTTAGATCAGCACTGATACTGATTTATTAATATGGTTACTGTTATTATTTATTTATTTATATATTTTTTATGGCTTTTTGGCGATGCTATTTATTATTCGCCCCTCAGAATCAGGGCTGTTGTATGAAGTCATGAGGAAATTTAACTAGGTTTCCTTCTACCTACTTTTGTGTATTTTGAGATGTTGAGTAAAAAAACTTGGTGGCTTTTATTCACATATTTAATAAAATCACCAAAATTCATGTAAAAGTTTGTGTATTCAGTATATTCACTTGAGGTAAATCTTTTATGCTGATAAAGAAATGTGTTTCTGTGTAGAGCCATGAACGCTCAAAGAACCCTTTGCATGATTAAATGGTTCTTCGCATCATGAAAGTGTTTTTCAGATTGATGAAGAATGTGCTGTAGATGGTTCTATATAGATCATTTTTGAAAAGGGTTCTATATAGCACCAAAAAGGTCCTTAGATTACTACAGGCTTGATGTTCTACACCATTCTCTTTACTAAAGAACCCTTGACTAACTCAGGTCGATCTAACTTACTGACTTTTTTTTCTTGTGTTTATATATATATATATATATATATATATATATATATATATATATATATATATATATATATATATATATATATGTATATACATATATACATATATATATATATATATATATATATATATATATATATATATATATATGTATGTGTGTGTGTGTGTGTGTGTGTGTGTGTATCCATTTGAGCTACATAGTGAGATATATATATAATATTTTTTGTTTTGTTTTTTTCTTATGGCTCTGTAAATGAAAGTGTCTGTATTCCCCACCTGCAGGAGGAGTATCAGGCAGAAGGCATCACCTGGCACAACATCGACTACACAGATAACGTGGGCTGCATCCAGCTCATCAGCAAGAAGCCCACTGGGCTCCTATATTTACTGGACGAGGAGAGCAAGTAAGACTGCCGGAGCGACACGCTGAGAGAGAGAGAGTGGGCTTGGCTGTGTTCACACATCACCACAAACTGCCTTCTCTCTCTCTCTTTCTGACTTATTCAGTTTCTCTAATGCTGTCTGTCTTTCATTTGCTCTGTTTTTCAGATTTTCTTTCTCAGTGGTGTAAAATATGCACACTGGACTCACAGCATTTCAAACAAGTCATATTTTTTTAATCAGAAAAGCGGTTCTCATATTTGCTGTTCCCTTTTCTGTATTTTTTTCTTTTTTCTCTCCCTTTCTTTCTTTTTCTTTTTTCTTTCTTTCTTTTTGTTTGTGCTCTCTCTCTCTCTCTCTCTCTCTTTCTTTCTCTTTCTCTCTCTCTTGCTCGCTCTCGCTCTCTCTCGCTCTCGCTCTCTTGTCTTTCTCTTTCGCTCTTTCTCTCTGTCTCCTTCTGTTTTCTTTCTCTTTTCTCTCTCTTTCTCTCTCTGTCTCTTGCTCACACTTGCTCTGTTTTCTTTCTCTTTTCTCTTTTTTTTTCTGTTTCTTTGTTTTCTTTCTCCTCTCTCTCTCTCTCTCTCTCTCTCTCTCTCTCTTTCTTTCTCGGTTTCTCACTCACTTTCTCTGTTGTCTTTCTTTCGCACTTTCTTTCTCTCTCTCTGTCTGTCTCTCTCTCTCTCTGTCTGTCTGTCTGTCTCTCTCTCTCTCTCTCTCTCTCTCTCTCTCTCTCTCTCTCTCTCTCTCTCTCTCTCTCTCTCTCTCTCTCTCTCTGCAGTTTCCCTCATGCTACAGATAAAACCCTGCTGGCCAAATTCAAACAGCAGCACGAGAGAAACCACTACTTTGTGGCCACGCCTGTGATGGAGCCGGCGTTTGTCATCCTTCATTTTGCTGGGAAGGTCAAGTACCAGATCAAGGTAACATTTTCTGCTGTCTGTTTTTCAGTAAGAGAGGATTCAATGTCAGATCATAAAGGAGTCAATTTTAGCACTAAAAGTAAAAAGACGCAAAAAATAAAGTACACAGATCAGTACTTTTCACTAGTGACACGTAAAATGCAGCAAAATGTTCAACGTTCTGCAGCTAGTGTTCACACACACCAACCCAAGTACTCACATTCTCTGTAACAGACACTGGTTACCAGGTAATCCCAACCTTTAATTTAAAACACTTCCCCACAGGCCGGCGAAAACAGTGCTAACTGTTGTTTCACGGCTCAATTTATACTAGGACAAAGTTGGACTCTTATCCGACAGCTTTTTGTTCGGATTTTGTGCTCCACCTTAAATGGGGCAGCAGTTACACTCAGCTAAACAGGGGCCTGAATGGAACTGCTGCACCATTTAAGGAGGAACGAGAAATATAAATAAGAATCTCTGAAGAGTCGACTGCACCTTCATATTAATTTCAAATGTGACTAAAACATCCTTGACTCAGCCACTCAGATAAACAGGCTGAAGTTAGCATGGTGTGCACTGTTTTGTGTGTCGCATTATGTGCACTTTTTGTGGTATACTGGTATAACAGTTATGACAAAACTTCAAAAGGTATTTGAAAAGGTGTACCGGATGAACCGGTTAGCGCCCACTACTACACTCTTATGTGTTCTTACTTTCTTTTCTGTTGAATGAAAGTCTTTTTGTTGTTTTATCCTTCCCCTGAAGTTGTAATGTGCTCATTTTAATTTCTTTTATAATTAAAATTATTCTTTAAATTGTAATCATTATTATTATTATTATTATTATTATTATGTTAAAAGAAAATTAACTTAATTTCACAGGTCAAATAGGACTGTGCCGTGGGCTTGTGTTTGACACGTGGGCCCTAGTTTCCACTGCATTTCCATCAAGAGTAAAATATAAACACTGTCCAATCACATCACTCTATTGAACTTGGGGTCACGGCTACAGTAGGTCCTGGGAGCTTCTGGGCGAAGTTGCCCTTGAACACCAACCCAGAATTCTGGGCCTTTAGCATGTTTAGTTCTATACATTACACTGTTTCAGTGTCTTTCCTGCTCATGTTCTTGTACACTGGGGTCACCTGTCTATGACACTTCAGCTTGTTTGACCACACATCATCTTGCAGGATTTCCGGGAGAAGAACACAGACCACATGCGTCCAGACATCGTGGCCCTGTTGCGGAGCAGTGACCGGGCTTACGTCCGGCAGCTGATCGGGATGGATCCGGTGGCCATGTTCCGGTGGGGAATCCTCCGGGCCGCACTCCGCGCTCTAGCGGCCTTTAATGAGGCCGGACGCCGCTGGGCTGCCAAGAGCGCCGGTAAGTCCTGCAGAGTTGAGCATTAGAACCGGATTAGTGTAAAAAACCTGTTTTGTTTTGGTTTCAGGTTTTATTTTTAGCCCACATGTGAAAGAGCTGGTTTATGACGCAAGACTGAGCTTAAGACGATTAAATCCACTGAGTGGGGAAAATAAAGAGAATGAACTCTCAAACTTTGGGTTTGTTCTTTATTGGGATGAATTACATCATATTACACCTGAGTACATCACTACATGTAGATCAGGGGCTCCCACACTTTAAAAAAAACGTCTTGGGGTGGGTGGGTCTGGACGAGGGTCCGCGATGCACATAATTAGCCTTTGTTTTGCTGTTTGTAGAGTGTCTTCAATAAATTTTTAATTAATGGTGATGAAATTTGACCACTTCATAGCCACTTCATAGATTACATAAACAATAGTAGTAAATTTCAGCAGTTAGGCTGCTACTCATGGTACTAAATAATCCACAACCTGGTACCTGTCCATTAGATAAAATAAGGACAGATATAGACTAATTATACAGTCTGTAAACAACCACCAATGTGTAGTAACTGCATAGTTGGTGTGTTTATTTTTGAATGTCTTCAGTTTGTTTGTTAGTCACATTTTTATATTTACATGTAAACTGTGGTTGTATGTAATAGATAGTGTACTGCTTACTCTGTTCTGTTGTCTGCTCAGTTCAGTTTTTTAACTATGATGCAGAGTGAAATATATAAACTTGAAATAAACTGCATAGTAACAAGTCGCAGCTTGAGAAGCAGCTCTTTATTTTATTATTTATTTTACCAGTTGTTAGATTATCCCCCTTCCCCAAATTACATATTCAAGTGTCATAGTTTGGTGGGATTGCTGTGTTGCTGATGCATTTGGTTCCAGCTTGTTTGGAGACCTCTGTGTATTGCAAAAAAAAATCTAAGTATTCTGATGTTATATTTTTGCCCACTGCTTATGCGTCGGTGTTTCTCTGTGCAGGTGTGGTCAGACCTGCCTCGAGAGTTCCACTGGGGGAGCTGCAGAGGTCCAACACGCAAATTGAGAGGATGTATCGGTAAGGCCTAAACTAGGACTGCCAAAGGCTACATGTGAGAGAGAGAGAGAGAGAGAGAGAGGAGGAAGTGCTGTGAGGAACTCGATCTCTTCCTGTCCTTTGCTTTTTTGTATGGGGTGGTCATGTGACCCTTCTCTCCTCCCAGAAGTACAATGCAGGCAGGTTCTTGCAAGTAATCCCTATTGAAGCACACATTACTTGGCCTTCCACTCATATGTGTGTGGTTAGTTAATGTATCAACTAAAAAAAAAATGGTCATAGCTATGAAGTTTGAAGGTTATTTAAAGAAATAGTCCACTATTTACAACTCGAGAGTTCAGATTATGCTGAACTTTGTTAAATATGTGCTTCCACTGGGCTTAAATATACCACTAATACAGCCTCAGTGCTCTCTAAAAGTTGTGCTGTTGTTTCCATCATAAGGCAGTACCTGATAAATAATATAACTTAAAAGAATTACAGTAATATAATTGTATAACCTCAGTTTTACTGCCCTGGTTAATACAGCCAGACTCAGTAATTGAGCTAATAGTCTTCAGTGAATGAACAGGATGTGATGAAATCAGTGCTTAATGCTTTATGCCATAATTTTGAATGCAGTTCTGTGCCTGTGGAGGCCTTTAGTAATAAGATTTGTGCTTTTTTATCTTGTTTTAGAATTAAATATTTCACAAAAACACATTGTTTCAAAGATCTCAGCAATAATAATATTTAATAGTCTTTATGTATCACTTTTTATTTTTGTTTTCAAGTTCTCAAAAGTGCTTTACAAAAAGAATAGACTGTATATTGTCTGCCTGGTCTCTAGGCCTGTTTTTGGTGAAAAACTGCCAACATCTGCTGATCTTTGATCTGTTTGACCTTTTTTTTTCCTTCTAATTGAGAAAAACCTGCGGGAGAGAACTGGTTGTAAATCGGCCCCTTCCGGCCTTTCAGGTCTCTTCTGTCCGTCAGTGATTGCCTGTGTGCTGTTTCTCGTCTACAGCCGTACATCTATGCTCGATTTCTCCTTTGATCACTCAGAGGAGCGCCCCCTAGAGGCTTTTGAGGACATCTTTGCTAGTTATGAGAGTAAGAAGTAAGTGTGCAGGAGGCAGAGCGGAGCAGGGGGTCTGGCAGGAGGAGCTGACTGCAGTGTGTTCTTTCAGTGGGCTCACAGTTAAGCTAAGCTAATCTTACACAAAACCAAGAGTTTAGTTTCACTATATAAACAGAAAAGTTGCATATAAAGAGAACATTTTGGATGCTAAAGGTATTTTTTGATCAGCTTTTGTTAATAGGCAAGACATTTTAATTCTATCTGTCTATATCTGTGGTGATTAGTGAAGACGGTCTGTGATGTACAGTGGTGTGCAAAAGTTTGAATACCCCCAGAGAAATGACGTTTTCTAAGTGAAAATAAGTTGACGCATCCTCTTCAGAGAATGAACTTCATAATGGCATTTTTCTGCCAATTTTAGTGCACAGTTTCTACTCGTTTGTTTTAACATATTGGGGGAAAAACTAAAAAAAAAAAAAGATTTGACGTAACTTTTGCCACGTTTTGTTTTTGTTTTTTTGGGGGTTTTTTTGTGTTTTTGTCAGAGGTGTGGTCTCTGTAGAGGATGTGTTAACTTATTTTTGCTCAGAAAATCAACAAAATGTAATTTTATCAGGCGCGCTTAAACTTTTGCGTACAACTGTATATAGGCTGCAGCATTGTGTTACTTTTTTCAGACTCTAATGCAAATGTTTGCAAATGTTGAAGGAACAGTTCAATTAAAAATGGCAGCGTTGCTCGCGGTCAATGAAAGCGAACACGGCAACCAGTTAGCATCATGCAAATGACATCATGCTAACTAGTGGCCGCTAGCTGTCATTCATTCTGAGCTACATTAGAGAGAACCTAGTGTTTTATTAGCATTAGCTTAGCTCCCCATTCTTCCCTGCCAGTGCGTTCCTGTTCGACCCCCTGCGGTTCTGAGCAGTGCGGTAGGTTTTATAAGTGCATGTACCACCAAAAGCCGCCCATTCGGCACCGGTTTAACCCCAGTCCCGGCCCCATGAGAGTAACACCTGCATGGAAATTCACCTGTACACCGAGCTTGCTATCATGGAGTGCATGTCCTCTGCACTCACACAAAAGCATGGTTTAAACCGCTCTACCATGCTGCTTATCAAATTCTCTGGATTCTCTGTTGTGGTAGAAGATGAACGTCACAGGCGTGCAGGGCCGATTCTAGATCATATATTTGTACCCAACACAAAACAGCAGCAGCATAAGTGATGCACAAGTGACCCTCCGTCCAATGAAGGGTGAAAGGCAACTTTTTATAGTTGGCATAAACTGTAATGCAAGCACCCTAAAAAGCCTGTCATCATGACTGTGGCCTGCATATATTATTAGTATAATGCTAAACTTGTCAAAAAAGTTTTAAAAATTTTAGTAGATTATGGTTTTAAATATTGCTAACATTGCTAAAGTAATGCTTTAATGGACTGCTATGGACCTTTTGCTTAAGTTAAATAGACAGGTGGAAAAAAATAATCACAAGATGGACCTCGAATTTTTGACTAGCTTTAATAGGGCCTGAAATTGTGGTCCGAACCCAAACACAGCCTGAGAACTTTCTGTCTGAGCCTGACCCAACCCACAGCGCAAAGTTTTGAGTCTTGACACAGCCCGGACCACGTCAGGTCAAAACTGACCCGAGCCCAAAAAGGAATCTGTCCGAAACGGCCCTGAACCAGCCTCAGAATGCTGAATAAAGCCTGAAGGGATGCTGAAATTACAGTGTAGCAACAATTATAGCCATGTTTAGATCATGGATAAATAAAATTGAAAAATATGGTTTTATAAAATAGTCAGCTGTTGAAAAATACCACACTTTCCATACTCTTCTCAAGATGTCAGCGTTCACCTGTTAAATCTCCATTTCTTTGCTATATATGTATATATTGGAGTTGTGGTGTATCATGGAAATTGTGCTGTACCATATTCAGAAGTGCGTAATTTCAGCTTATTGCTGAAAGATATTGCATTAGAAAACTTGAATATTGGGTTGTATTGTCAAATATCCAATTTTGTCAAAAATTTCACGATCACAAAATGTTTGTACAGATACATTGTAAATTCCAGAATCAAGCATAAAAAAATATACTGAACTTATTTGCATTGAATTATCGGGATCATGTTGAGCTTCAGTTGGTAAACCTGGTTGTTATTGCTGGTTGTTTTCTGATGGTTACAAAAGAATAAACGATATATTTAGCTTAGTAATAAATAAGCAAAATATAAATTGTATTGAAAGCGTCCCAGCGGTACTTTTGGCTACTTGTATAAATGACACCAAACTGTGTTCTCCTGAATCGAGTCACTGTTTTATCTCCTTCACATCCATTTTCTCACAAGCATTGGCCTCATGAACCTCAGTGCTTGAATCAATAATTTCAGCAGGTGACTTCAGCTTGTTGTTTTAAGGTATTGAAAGTAGAGTGAAAGAATAAAATATTAAAAACAAAAGCGCGGAAATCTGTCAGAAGTGGAAGGAGGGCTGTGAAAACCCAAACATGGAATTTAACCTGATTTGAGATCGACATATATTTGGAAAATGCCAACCAAACCTGATGTGAGCTGTCGTCTCTTGTGGTGTTCGGGTCAAATATTTCAAGTACTACTTTAAATTGTTCTTCAGAGTTTGAGCTGCCTTTGGACCTCCATCTGCTACCACTAATTTTTAATTTTATTCATTAATTTATTTATTTAGTGAAAGGTGAGTGTGTCTTTGTCTTTGGTGATGGGACTTTCCTTTCCAGAGGTGCATAATTAACGTCTGTGTTGGTTTCCTGTCCTTTTTTACCACACCTTACCTCACTCTCCAACTTTTCTCCTCGTCTTTCCTCACCCGTCGGGCTGAATCAGGGACATTCACGCCCAAATTATGAGCTCCATTAAGGACTTGCAGTTGGATGGCGAGGATCCGCGTAAGCTGCTTCAATCATGGGGTCGCCTGCGGTTCCCACGCCACTTCGTTCAGTGAGTCAGTCCTCCGAAACCCCCTTTGGACCACCTGAAATAAACCCCTCAACCCCAGCCTGCTTACCCCCACATCATGCCATATAGCTGATTGGCCTTTTGCTCGTGTCTGAGATGCATTATAGAAACATTCGCTGCTCGTAAAGAGGAAAAACAGTCGAGTTTATAATGAACGCGCCCCACTCTGTGCAACTCTAATAGACTCCTAACATGTTCGGCACTAATTTGTGCGCGGCCCTTGGCTTGCTCAAGGTAAAAGAATGCAGTGTTTACGAGCCGAGAGCTGAGCTTCGTTAGCTTGCTGCATTAGTTCTGAACTGTTTTTTTTGTGGTTAGACTGTTCGTGTTCGTCTCTGATGCTAACATACAAAAACAAAACTCACCTCTGCTTTTTTTCTGGTAATAATGCAAAATAATATAACACACATTGTTTCCAGTGCATGAGCTAGCTGACTTGACTCACTTGAATGTACAGCCTTGGTTTTGTTTTTTCGTCTTAAATTTGATGTTCCTCAGATATCTGTAACGACTGTCGGAAGGTTTCCCTCAAAACAGAGAGTAATAGTGTCAATATTCACCAATAAACGGGAAATTTTTAATTACTGTCATCAGTCTTACCTTGAAATTGTAACTGATAATTACAACCATTAACTGCACTGCAGTTCATATATGGATTGTAGTCTGATCCTGTGTTCATATGTATGTGTATATATGAATAACCTGTATATCCAGCAAAAATGTACATGCCCCTGGTCAAACTGCATGTTTTGTTTAAGTTAACGCGTCCTGTTCAGATAACACACTTCTGCACAGTTACTGTTTATTTACTGAATTGAAAATAAAACATAAAACGAGTTATGGCAGTGTTTTTCAGTATTTTAAATAGCAAAATACAAAGCAAATAAATAGAAATTGTGCGATAAATTTTGCAGAAAATTGCAAATTTAAGTTTGTTCGCTGACAAACAGTGGCCAGTTGGGGTCATGGCAAAATGTTAAGTAAAAATAAAACAAAAACACAGCTTTCCCACAAATCTATTGAGAGTTAATTGGCCCCAAACCTTTCTCATACAGCTATGTATATATATATATATATATATATATATATATATATATATATATATATATATATATATATATATATATATATATATATATATATATATATATATTGGACACAACAAGGTGTTAATTATCATTTATGGCTATTGACCCATTTCGTATCAATGCCTACAAACAAGCCCTAATATGTATGTTTCTTCATTACAGGAAAAGCGTTTACAGGGTTACATAGAAACGTCTCAGTTGTTTCCGATAATTCCCTTATATACCCATTCGTCTGTGAGCTTCACATAACAGTGAGGTCAAAAGAAGAGAAGAGAGCCCATCATTCCTCTTCTCCTCTTTTCTCCTGTCAGAGTCACATCTCTCAATCACCTGGCTCCCTGAACCCCCCCTTTGCCATTGCATGGCTCTCTCACTGTACTAACATAGAGTAACCTCTCAGCTCCATCCCAACACAGCATCAACCTCTTTGTCCTTCATTCTCCTTCCCTTCCTCCCTTACAGGAAGAACAAGGGCACCAAGAACAAGCAGCTCATTCCTAAGGTAAAGCTCTTTAGGTCCTGATGGGCATATTGGTGGTTGCATTCTAGCGATATCAGGTATAAATGGTTCAGCATTGCCAGTTTATCAGGTGCATCTACCTTGTACCTACACTCATTGGCCATTTTATTAGAAACACACATACAGTGCCCTGTAAGCAGGTGTGTAGCTGTCAAGAAGCTGTTACTGAAAAAGGAAACAGATGAGAAAAACATTTGAAAGTTGAGCCACCCCAGAGCCCAGACTTTCAGCACTGCTGAATGTGTTTGGGATGACTTGGATGGTGAGAAGAAGAAAATGCAAAAAGTCTCAGACTGAACTTTAAAGGTTTGGAAAAAAGTCATTGAAGTCGTTGAAAAACTGAAAGTCTCGCAAAAAGAATGGAAGCTGTAATAAATGTGAAGAGTGGACACACTGAATACTGAAAAATTATTTTCCTGACACTAACTTGTAATTAATGGTCATTTTGACTGAAAATTAACTAACTGATGGGTGGTCCCTCACTTTTGTTCGATGTGTCTGGGATTACTCAGATCATGAGAAGCAGAAAAATGCAAAACCATCTTCTAAGACCGAACTTCAGAGCTTCTGAAAAGAGTGGAAGCTGTAATAAAGATAAAGATTAAACAAGCAATATATATATACAAAAAATATTAAATATTATATTATTAAATATCGCTGCTGTCAGAAGAAAACATCGTTTTTCCATTTTTGTTGTTTTTCTGTTTTTGGCATAATTTGAAACACCTTTACATTCTATGTAAATTTCATGGTGAATGGGCCAGAAGAAACGGCCTAAAATGACTTGGGGGGGAAAAATCTTGGTTCCATTGACTTACATTAAAAGTAAAGTAGGTTTTTTCCTTCTCCTGTAAAGTTACCATTTTGGAGATACAAAGTTTTGTTCTGACAACAGCGAAATGTTAAATATATTATAATTAGTTTTTGAGGCTTCTACAGAAGTCTGGAGAGGCCATGAACTGTTGCTATCATTTTCTGGATTGTTATCTTGAGATAACAAGATATGTAACTTGTTATTTCAAGATAACAACCATTGAGGAACAGGGTAAAAGGGGGCTAACAAAGTATCAGAGAAACAGATGGACTACAGTCTGTAACTGTAGAACTACAAAGTGCGCCTATATAGTAAGTGGAGCTGATAAAATGGACAATGAGCGTAGAAACAAGGAGGTGGTCACAGTGTTATGCCTGATCGGTGTATATGGTAGTTGTTTCTCATAAAATGTCCACAGAGTGTAGGTACAAGGTTGGTGCCTAATAAACTGACAGTTGAGACTGTTGTACCAGTCATCAATTTATCCTCCATTCACTGCAAGTTGTGAGGGAAAATGTGAAGCGTTGCTCTGCATGACTGTCCTTGGTTGTTGTGCAGAATCTGCTGGACTCCCATTCCTTGAAGTTCATTGTGGGTCTTCATGACCGCACCACAAAGTCTCTGCTGCACCTGCACAAGAAGAAGAAGCCCCCAAGCATCAGCGCTCAGTTTCAGGTAAGCCAGATTCATATTTCATTGCCGTTCTGAAGTATTATTCTGTTACTGATATTACTGAAGATCAGTAAGAAGAAGAATCATTGAATATTAATACAGTAGTGTAATTGTTGTATTAATGATTTTATTATTTGTACTTCGTCAGTCCTGTACTCACTGGTTGCCCGTTTCTTTCCTCTCTAGACTTCCCTCAGTAAGCTGCTAGAGACTCTCGCAAAGGCTGAGCCGTTCTTTATCCGCTGTCTCCGCTCCAACGCTGAGAAGGTTTGAACTGCTATCTAGTACCACACAATGCAGACGTTTACCAGATTAAGGGCCTAACTCCTTGCATTAACCGGGTGTTGATGTATTAGCCTTTCTTTGATGGAACAGTAAACCACTGACCAGTTTGCCTGGTGATGCTTTCTGGCATGACTGGTCTTAAAGGGTCCATATAATGGAAAACCAAACATCCCTGACTTTTTTTTTTTTTAATAAATGAGTTTGAACTAATATGTAAATATTATTAAAGTTTCAAAACTTACCCTTCACTCCCCAGTCCGTACAATCTGTATACACTCTTTTTAAAAGGCGGTTCTTTAAGTTCCTTAGCAAAGAAAATGGTTCTGTATAGAACCATGTACATGTATGATTAAAGGGTTCTTTGCATCATGAAAGTGTTCTTCAGACTGATGCAAAATGTGCCTAAATGTGCTATAGATGGTTCTACCTTTTTGAAAAGGGTTCTATCTAGCACCCAGAAGGGTTCTTCTGTTCTTACAACCTTACACTGTAACAATAGAGGAACCCTTTTGGGTGCTGTACAAAACCATTTTCGAAAAGGTTTTATATCGAACCATCTACAGCACATTTTCCATCAGTCTGAAGAACGCTTTCATGAAGCAGAGAACCCTTTAATCATGCAGGGGTTCTTTGAGTGTCCATGGTTCTGTATAGAACGATTTTCTTTACTAAAGAACCCTTGAAGCACCATCTTTTTTAAGAGTGTGGGATAAACCTTCCTGCAAAAAGAGTTTGTAAGTAATTAGTGAGTAAAAAAAGGCCACAATAGCGTTTACGTAGCCTGGAGTGAAATTAGTCTCATCCTTATAAGTCTGTGTTCTGCAATGACTGTCTGCCTGTGTGTGTGTGAGCAGAAGGAGATGTGTTTTGATGAGGCGCTGGTCCTGCAGCAGCTTCGCTACACAGGCATGCTGGAGACGGTGCGCATCAGGAGATCAGGCTACAGCGCTAAATACACCTTCCAGGTAGACCACAAATCATGCCAAGCTGAAGTGATGCTTCTTGTTAATCTTATTAGCATATTCTTTCATTGTTTTGTTTATTGTTTTATATTTTAATCTGTATAATTTTGATTATATTGTCATTTTACCTTCTGTATAATTCAGTTTTACTGTTTTTATCCTGCGCTTTTATCTTTTAAGCTTGTAAAGGTTAAAAGGTTGAACTCCTTTCAGGAGTTCATATACAATGTTTGAAAGTGCTCTAAAAAGATTTTATTACTATTATTACTTTTTGATGGATACTCTTAAGAATAAGTACTATAAATTATTTATGATTGTTGATAATAATACTAATAATGTTTTATTATACTGTGCATTTCTCACATTTAAAGTTGGTTTAGAAGATCCGTACAGAAAGAATCAGAATCACACCTTGCAAAACAAAAGTCTACAGTTTCACAGCTCTTTCTCCATATTGCAGGAATTCATCGAGCAGTTCCGTGTGTTGCTGCCAAAGAAAGCCTCGTCTAAGGAAGACATATCCACTCTGCTGCAGAACCTCGGCTTAGACACCAAGACCTACCAGATAGGCAAAACAAAGGTCAGTTTCCTGCCTTTCCTCAAAGTGTCAGACTTCTCAAAAGTAAATCCATCCAGGAGTTCATAGATTATTATGATCAATTCCAGGTATATCTGAAAGAGCCTGAGAGGCAGAAGCTTCAGGACACTCTCCACAAGGACGTCATGCACAAAATCATCTTCCTGCAGCGCTGGTTCCGAGCTAAAGTGCTGAGGAGGCACTTTCTGCAGTTAAGAGAGGCCGCTGTCTTCGTTCAGGTAAATCCAGCTCGCTTTGGCGATGCGTAGATTGTATAAAAGTCGAAGGCAGCCTTGAAAATTGTTTAGAACTGTTCATCTGGACAGTAAGAGTGTTTTTGCCAGTTAAAACACAATGTAACAAAAGAACGAATTGAAATAAATGTAAACACAGTAAAACGTAATGATGTGTCGTTTTCAGTAAAGTTATAAATATGTAGGTTAGAAGAACACAGGACTCCATCCCTCACATGGGTTTGTACAGTTCCATCAGCAGCACCTGGTATAATTTAATGAAGTATTGATTAGATAAACTAGCTATTGAATGAAAACTATCAATACTGGACTTTCTCAGGAAGAAATTTGGAAATGGTTAAACTGACACTCGCACAGCCACAATAGATAGATTGTTGATTTATATTGATTGTAATGTTAGTGATTTTCTAAACTAAAAATGCTTACTGCCTAGACAAAAAAGCTTTATATATCATATGCTTAAGACATTTTGCACAGTAATGTGTGTACGGTTTATTCCGCACCAGCTCACTTGTGTGATTACCACCTGTCTGTAAAGTATTTTGAGCTGCTACCGGCATGAAAAGTGCTAATAAATACATTTTTTTAATTATTATTGTTATTTGAGCTTGAATGAAAGCTTTAATTTCAGAGATCTAAACATGTAAGATTTAATGCTCAAACAAATTACATAAAGCTCACTAAATTAACTTGTTGTGCAGATTTATTAACATTAAACCAGTTGATTTAAAGTAACATATTATTCTTAGGTCCAATCCCATTTCACCCCTTGCCCCTACCACTTGGCCCCTAGCCCTCTGTTCTGCATCTAGGGGTATGGTGTCCTGATTCATGTTGAGATAGAGGGGTAGGGTGAAGTGTTAGGGCTCCAAATGGAGGTTTTTCAGAGACACTCCAAACAGTGTTATGAGGAAAAAAAGAAAAACCAGCAAGATGGCTGAACAAGAGACCAAAGAAACACACAAATGAGAGAATTTTCTCAGTTTAAAAATTACAATAACCATTGTTTTGTCTTAGTTTAATGTCGTTTCAATGTATTATGGTCGTTTTCTTCATAACAAGCATAAAAAATCATTAATAGTATGCTATTGTCTCTGTAGCTAGCTAGCTAACTTTCCTGTTCCACCTTAAATAGTCCAGCAGTTCTGATGCCTGAAGCGCCAGAATGTAACTGCTGCTCTATTTAAGGTGGAACGGGAAAATTCAAACAAGAAGCTGGTGAATATCTGACTTCAGCTTCATATCACTGAAGAATTAGGGGTGGGTGATAATAAATAATTGCCCCCCTCTTTGAAGGCATATTATTCCCTAAATGTAACTAAAGCCCAGCAGTGCGGTTGCTGAACTTTACCCTCCTCTGCTGTCACTGCAGACTGGCAGGGTCGCCTACAGAGCAGCGCTAGTAGCTGTTAATGAAGTGATGCTCTTTTTATTTGAGGGTCCCATTTCAGAGGGAAGATTTCAACCACTACCCCTTGTAATTCAGTTCCAAGGGGCAATGTGACACTCGAAAACAAGGGGTGGGGTAAAAAATAAGAATTGGGATTGGGCCTTAGTGTTGTATTTTCACCGTTTTTAAAATCTCAGCTCAGATCAGTCAGATATTAGCATTTAGTCAGCAATTAAAGAAGTGAATTAGAGCCTTATATAGGAAAAATGTAAAAACTCACTCCTACAACTATTTGCAGCTAAATTTTCCCCGGAAATCCATAACCTAATAATCCATAATCCATGACTTGGCAGGCCCAGGGTATGTTGGCATGGACTAACCCTACAGTGATATGAATGGTGTTTCAGTGCTGTGATGGAGATGTATGTCTGATTACAGCGCACTTGGAGGAGAACATGTCAGGAGCGGCGCTGTCAAGCTGCTACTCTGATTCAGGCGGCGTGGCGAGGCTCTAAACAGAGGACAGAATACCGACAACGACGAGCCTCTGTTACTAAGATCCAGGCTTTAGTCAGAGGCCAGTCAGCCCGCAAAAGGTAGAGCTAACATTTGTGCAAAAGATCACTCTGGGTTTAAAGTCAGGGTGCATCAGAAATCATACTGTAATATATGTATAATCACTGCTCTCCTTCTGTACACTGTCAAAACCTGGTTCGTCAGTTCAGCCTAAAAAGTGCTTCATGTGGTAACAAGTACCAGTTCTGTTCAACCAACATAAATATTTGAACCATTCTTTCATTGAAAGTGTTTGTGGTGAATAAAACTAGTTCAGCTGCTTGTTAACACAAAGTATTTTTTTTAGCTTGACCTCTCAAACCCTTTTTACAATGTACAGTGATGTATTTGTGAGTGAAACACTATCAGGGTGTCTGAACTAGCTGAGTATTTTCTCTCCATAATGATGCGAGGGGAAAGTGAAGCATCATATTTGTGGTTAAAGGGCCCATTTCGTACCACAGGGGTATTTAATTAAAATTCAATAATGTCCAGTTTCCTCAAGCAAAGGTCCCGACCATCATAATGTCTAGCTTGCATTATGATTCAGTGCCATATACTCTATACAAGAAGTAGTCTAGTAGTCATATCAGCACCTTATACAGTCAATAACTGAATGTCAAATCAAATAAAGTACAATTCAGTCATATTTCAACAACATTTATTGTCCGTTTTCTCTTTTTAGAGCATGGCATGTGAAATAACCGCCCTCTGACTCACTTTCTTCTCCGACTGCTGTTTTTTGCCTTGTCCCTCCCCTGTGTGTGTGTCACTCACTGGAGTCTCAGAGCTCATCGTAATGCACAGATCTGATTGGCTGAGTAGCATCACGTGTGATATTTACAACGCGTGCAACTGGCACCGTAATGACTAGAAATGTTACACCGATTAAAATTGGACCACCCTGTCTAAATTAAATAATTATCCATAGTTTATCAGTTATAGGTCCAGGTCCGCATAGGACAGCGCCTGTGTCCAGACTTAGACCACGGTCCGCCTTTTAGTGACCTCTGTCCTACAGTTTTTTTTTACATTTTTTTTTTCCCCTGAAGGTCCACTTGAAACATTTATGCGATTTCATGTTCCAAAAACAGATAATAAATTTTTAGCTAACCATTTTCCAACCTCTCTTTATCCCTTAGAATTAAACATGCTGTTTTTGCAGATATTTTCATATGTGGATCGTATGTACTGGGGAGTCAATGCTACATTTTGAGGCAATGTTTACATACTACATCAAACATTTATTAATAAAAAAAGCTTTTTTATTAATAAAAAAAAGTTTTACACCATAAATCATTACATTTTGATCGGCGATTGTGGACAAACAAGAATTTTGTCTTTAATATATGAAATGATATGATGAATCCTGTTTACTAAGATCAGCTGAACTAACAAGATACAAAAGGTCAATTTTGATTTCAGGTTGACTTTAAAATGACTCCATGTCAATAATTTTTAGTAGGAGTGTATCATAATGCGTCAATCTGAAGGTGGAGATTGACTGCTTCAGTCAAATGACATAAGTATACAGTGTTTTTTTTTTTTGTCTAGTCCCCAAAATTAGCGTCTCTTGTTGTCTGTGTTCTACCATTGGCTTAAATGGCTCCTCCATTCACACTGATGTCATTATATGTACCAAACTGCCATTATATGGTCCAGAATTCAGACAGAAAGTGTCAAATCAGGATGGTATTTGAGGTTTTGTGGTGCGTTGAACCCTAATCGAATCGTTGTGAAATCAGAAATTTAACCCCTGATGTTTAGGTTGATCTGGTCTGTGGAACTGAATGTTTAGGTTTTTTCATTATAGTAACAATCCAAGAACCGACAGTTTACCATGTGTGTATATGTCATTAGGTACCAATCTCTGAAGGAGGATAAGAGGAGGAAAGAGGAGGAAGAAGCTCGAAGGAGAAGAGAGGAAGAAGAAGAGGCAGCTAGACGGGCCCAGGAGGCAGCGGAGGCAGCCAGACGAGAGAGGGAGGCTGCTGAGGCAGCCAGGAGAGCGCGAGAGGCAGAGGAGGCAGCCAGGAGAGCACAAGAGGCTGAAGAGGCAGCTAGAAAAAAGAAGGAGGCAGAGGAAGAGGCAGCTAGGCTTGCTGAGCAGAGGAGGAAGGAGGAAGCTTCACAGAAGCTAAGAAATGAGACATTTATTGAAAATTTGGTGAGCTCTGAGGTAAAAGGAGGAGAAAAGGAAGCAAAGGCTGAGGCTGGTCCTCATCCTGAAGAACAGGATGGAGAACAAAACCAGAACATTCTGGAGCTGAATGAAAAAGATAAGAAGAAGGAACCAGTTGGGAAACTTACAGAAGATAACAAACACCTTAAAGCGCCGTTCACTGTCTTACCAGAGGAGACTAGTTCTAAAACGGCTCCAGAGGAAAGCTTGGACCGCAAAATTCCCCCAGCTGCTCTTCCAGAAGCTAAAATGTCCGTTTCTGTTTCTCCAGAAGAAGACAAAAACCTTCAAACCAGCACCCCTGTGACCCCATCTGAGCAGTTGAAGCCTAAAACTCCTTCTCTGGGTAGGCTCAGCACCTCCAGAAGCCAAGAGAAGAGGGAGCTGAGGCGGCAGCGCGGTTTGGAGCACAGCCAGAGGGAGATTGAACGGGCTGCTTCAATTAACAGAGAAGAACCGGCGCAGAAAAGCCCCACTGGGCCTGAAAGCAGACAAAACGAGCGATCCAATAGCAAAGAACTGGACCAGTACACGTTCGTAGCCTGGAGGAGTGATAGACAGAAGAAAGAAGCTAAGGATGAGGGAGAAAAGGCTAAAAAGGAGGCTAAGGAAGAAGTACAGAAAGCCACTCCTGAGAAAACTAAAAAAGAGGCTAAAGATGAGGAAGAGAAAGCTAAGAAGGAAGTTAAGGATGAGGAGGAAAAGGCTGTGAAGGAGGCCAAAGTTGATGGAGAAAAGGCTATAAAAGAGGCTAAAGATGAGGGAGAAAAGGCTAAAAAAGAAGCCAAGAATGAAGCAGAGAAAGCTGCAAGAGAAGCCAAGCAGGTTTCTCCAGCCCCAGTCCGACCCACCACCTTACCCTTGGACATCCCAGGCTCAAGGCCTGATAAGAACGGCCACAACGAGTCCCCCAGTACTGCTAAGGACCCCACCAACAAAGGCAAGGCACAGAGGAGCAACACCCACCCAAATGTCACCTCATCTGAAGCCCAAAAGCAGGAGAACAGGAGGCCTAAGATGCTACAGTAAGACATATATATGCCTGGTTGATGCTGTTTATCTCTGCATCATCTTAACTAGGGCTGGGTATTTAATACTTTTATGGTACCAACCAAAATTCTTCAGTACCAGAGTATCGTTCAGTATCAACACCTAGTCAGTCTGATCAGTATCTGTGAGCCAGTAAGCATGCTTGTTCCTGCTGAATTGCTGCATTATTTTCTCTATATGTGCTATTAACCACATGAACCTGACAGGTCCAGTACTGGCACAACAGAAAAACACAGAGCCACTCATTTAAATCTGCCACCAAAGGATTTGTGGTGCATCCCTAATGGCAAAAATCATTTAAAATATGCATAAGGGTTCTTTTTATTTTGGACACGCTTTTTTCCCCACCCCGATCGTGCACATGAGCTCATTCTGATCAGAATTCTGGTTGGTAAGACCATATTATTGATTTGTTTAATGAGACTAAAGATAAAGTGCAACTAATGTTTGATTTGTATTCCTATTCATGTGTTTTTTTTTCTTCAAAATGTTATTTTTTTAGACACTGAAACAGAATAAAATTTGATTAGATCATCTTGTTTACACGTCAAATAAATATAACATTTAGAAATCATTTAGAAAGCATTTAGAAATCAGATATATATATAAAAAAGAGTGAAAACAAAAACTAGCATTAATGTTAGCACTTCTTGATAAGTATATAATCTGTTGAGGTCAGTAAATATATCCACTACTTAAGCAACACTCACTCTCACTTTGTAATTTAAAAGGTGCTAAATATTTGTATCAAAGTCAAAGTGTGAGTATCGTTATCGGTATCTGAAATTTTGGTTGATACCCAGCCCTGTTCTTAAACAGAGTTATTATTGCCATTTTTCCACACATCGATTTACCTTCGACAATTATTTAAATGTAATTGCATAAATAGTTATAAACTATATAAAGAGTATTTGCTCAGTATTACATACGGTTATTACCAGCAATCGCTGTGGTTTATTAATCAGCTTGATTAATTGAAAATGAGATCTTGATTGTTCCATCCTGTCCTTTGTAGGATGTCAGTTTCCCGATCGTTGGATGACGTATCAGAGTTGGCGACATCAGGACACAACATTTCTGCAGTTTCACAGGTAAAGTGAACTCTGATTTTGGGTCGTTCCCCCTGGAGTCAGAGATTAGAAACAGGTAATTGAAGCAAAAACCAAAAATGAACAGCAGTTTATCAAAGTCAAACGATATTACTCTCAGCTTCCAAAGTGAAAACTTTATTTTAAGGTCCAGTTAACTAATCAGTGACAGTGTCTCGTTTATTCCCTTTAAAGGAATAGTTTGGCACGAAATCTGATTTTCCCAGTTTTCCACTTACTCTAAATGTAGTTAGTCAAGACAAGTGCAGAGTTCAAAAACCGAGACCACAAGGTTGACATTGCTTACAAAAACTAGAACTCAGTAGTGACCCAGAAAAGCCCAAATTATTTTTATGAAAATAAATCCACAGAACTTCTCTCAGCCAGCTCAAACCACATTGAGGTCTTCATTAACAAACACAGACATGTCGATTTGGGTTAGTTCACAGTGTGACTTACTGTGAGCTGTAAAATTGAACAAAACTTCACTGCTCTGGACAGTCAGACAACACTAGGGCTGATATTCACACAGCAGGACTGATCTCAGATTCCTTCCTATTTATGACTCTTATTGTCATAAACGCTGATTCTTTCAGTGCAAGTTGGGAGAAAATTTGGTGAAAGATTTTTACAGACACAATGGGGCAGTCGTGGGCTGGAGGTTAGGGAACCAGCCCTGTGACCGGAAGGTTGTCGGTTCGATCCCTTGAGCCGACAGTACGTGACTGAGGTGCCCTTGAGCAAGGCACCTAACCCCCAACTGCTCTCCAGGCGCTGTGGACAGGGCTGCCCAGCGCTCCAGGCAAGTGTGCTTACTGCCCCCTAGTGTGTGTGTTCACTAGTGTCTATGTGGGTGTTTGAGGCTAACTGGGTGACTATTAAGTTCTCTTTTTTGTTAGCAACGTCTCACCACTTCAGTTCTAAACTCAAGAAACAAAATTTGGACTCTAAAAATGTTGACTACGTCTGGGGTGAGTGGAACGTTTTGTAAATAAAACGTCTAACCAAACCAACATTCCTTTAAGCATTTAAATCCCTATTTATATTCAAATAAACCAGAACATAATAACATTATTAACAAGTTAAGTTCTGTTATGTTCTGTAAAATGCATTGTTTCCCTGTGCCATTTCTAATCGAAGCATGTAGGTGTCAGTTGTCTCTCATTTGAGTTCAGTCCCGTTTACAGCTCTTCAGATTAAATCAGCTTTGAGTCTCTTTTCCCCTCTAGACATTCCAGAACAGACTAAATGCAGTGATCCCTGATATCAGTCATATATGTCCTTCTCTGGCTTACTTAGGGCCACATGCGTTACCGCAAGTGTCCCAGGCGCAGGCGTCGCCTAGACTTTGTGCGTAACTGCTTGATGGTTAAAAGTGCTGAAATGGAGGACGTGGAGAGCTGGACTTTTCCCTTAATCCCCACAAACACCCTCCAGGTCATGTATCATTACCGGAGTGAATCAGCTGCTTGGGGATGATGGATGAGCGTGCTGTGAATCAGTAGAGGGAAAGCTTTCCCTCCTGTACTGTTTACAGAGAAATCAAACTGTGCCAAGTAAAGCAAAGCAAATCATCTTGAGTCTCATTGTGTTTGAGTAAACGTGCTTCCCTTAACAGAAAGGGTGGGTGAGATGGCAAGAGATGAACCTCAAAATACAACATGTGAACAAAAATGGTAAAAAATAATGTGTTTATAATATATTTTATAAATGTTTTTATAATTAAATCATTTAGATGTAAAAAAAGTTCATTCAGGATCATTAGTTTGATGTGAAACGCTCCATTCTAGAGAAACAGAGTCTGAATTGTTCACAGTGGTAGTGATAGGAACCAGACGTCTGAAGAGTTTAATCCCTCACAGAAAGTTATTACATGAGCGGGTGGTCTGAGAACCAATATGTTTCTAAGTTTGTTCTTAAATGTGTTCTTGAGAAAGGTCCTAAGAAAAAGTCTACGTCAGATTCATAACGTGTTCTTAAAGCGCAGAACTGTTCTCACCTTTGAGCTCTCGAGTGTGTAGATTGTATTCTTACCTAAGAACAAATCCCAAATAAGAAAACACTGCTGAATGTCAGACTCTTCGTCAGAACTGCGTAAGTGGGTTTTAAGAAGAAATTTCTAATTAAGAACAGTTGATGAACGAGGCCCCAGTCTTTTTTAAATGCATTTATGGCAGACGGTTGCATGTAGGACTTTGTACAGCAGAATAATCCCAAAAGAAAACATGTAAAAGCTCAGAAGACACATGTAGGTTCACTGGTGGGTTTTGGATAGTACATAAAATGTTTATATTCATGTTGTGGGCATTATGACCCCTGGTTCACCACCACTGTAAAGAAATCTGAGCCTCTACAGTCGACCGTTTCACACCAAACCACTCTAAACGGCTTTGTTTACTTGCCAACTACTGAATTATGCATAATGTCTTTCAATAATCTGTGAAATTCTCTTTTAAAATAAGTTAAAGATGTACTGGGCTGTCAGTCAGCTGCTTGTGACTATGCCGTTTCTTGTTCCCCAGAAGATGGGAGAGCATGTCGTATGACTAGTATAATGAAGAAAACCATGTACAACCTGGGATTAGTAGTAGTACACACTCAAACATGATGATACTCATGCAAGCCACCCATATGATGATCCTGGCAGCCTTTTTTCCAATCTTTGTTTTGTTTTGTTTTCTCAAAGAAATAATGTGCTGTTCTTGTATTACTGCAGCATTTGTGCATAAAGATTTTTTTAATGGCTTGTGACTGTTGCTTAAAGGGTTTCTTAGCCATCGCAGACTTTTTTAAACCCCTTTTTTCTGTTTACATAAAAGTGAAAAATCACCTATTTAATTGTGCTGAATATTTTAAAAATGCCAATGAGTGATGTTCCAGACTTTCTGAAAGTGGTGGTCCATCTGCATTGGTTTTGGTGTGCTAAAGTCAGTAATAGTTATATTCAGTGAAGGACACACTTTTACATTTTCGGATTCAAAAAAGGGACAAAAAGCTGTTTGTATTGTTTTTATTGATATTCAGTTTGTTTCAAAGATAATTATGGATATTAATTGAATTGAAATTGAAATCTGAAATTTGAGAATTCATCATATGTAGAACAATATGAGGTCAGAGTTTTTCGCTGCTGCTTAGATTTAATTTTCACCATTAGATAGTTGTGATTGGTGTCTGAAAGGCGGTTTTTGTAGACATAAACCTAAGCCTAGTTCTAAATCGATCTAGTCCAGGGGTGTCCAATCTAATCCGCAGAGGGCCAGAGTGGCTGCAGGTTTTCATTCCAGCAAAGCAGGTGGTCACCTGATCAACTATTTGAAGACTGAGACCAACTGGGACCCACTACCTACTATGAGACCTGCTGAGACCTACTATTAAACAAGTAGAACCAGGTGTGCTCTTGTTTGTTTGGAAGGAAAATGTGCAGCCATACCAGCCCTGTGTGGATACGATTGGACACCCCTGGTCTAGTCTATATTAAATTAAATAGAAACTGAGCTTTTTATTGCAAATGCTTTTTCAGTCAAGGCTAAGTTTAAAATGAGACTTCATATTGATATTTTAACTGTGTTTAAATGTTTTCACTGTTGTAAACCAGCATCCTGCTTACGGTGTGCCAGCTGGGCAATAAGGGAAAATAACTACTATAAATCATGGTGATGGTGCCAACTGATCTTTTGCTTGCTCTGTTGTGTCAGTGGGGGACTCTGAAGTTATGTTTACCCAGAATGTTTTACAGGATGCTTTACAGTCGTATGCAAAAGTTTTAACGTTTTGTTGATTTTCTTAGTGACAATACAGGGCAAAACTTATCTGAATTTGTTGTGCAAATTTCTTTGCACAATTTCTATTTATCTGCTCACTTTGAAATAAAAAAGAAGCATAAAATATAAAATGCGCTGTAACTTTTGCACAGGCCCGTTTTATTCCCATTATGTTAAATTTAGCAAATAAACAGTAATTGTGCATTAAAATGTGCAGAAATATGTTCTCTGTAGTGGATGTGTGAATTTATTTTCACTTACAAAATCAACAAAACATGAAATTTCACCAGGTGTGCTGAAACTTGTGCATGCAACTGTATGTTCTTGACTTTATACACTGAGTTGCCAGTTTATTTGGTACCCCAACCCTTTACTTGGATATACTGGCCATTTTACAGGTACACAGAAACCTGCATAAAAAAGAAAAATCCAAAGGTCATCCTTTTCTATTGATTGGGTAGAGGGGACTGATAAGTTGTGCAGATGGGCTGCAGTTTACAAAATGCACTTAAATAGTAGGTATTTCTGATATAATGGCCAATGAGTAGATACAGGTGTTGAGATATTAGGTTTACCTAATAAAGTGGTGACTCAGTGTATGCCTTGTATGATTTTTTTTTTTTGTTTGTTTAGTAAAACTGACTGTGGTGTTTAACACTCTCACAGACGCAGTCTCGGGCAGCCGAGGGTTCGCACGGAGGGAAAGCTGGAAGCACAGGCAGGACGCAGGAAAGCTCTGGTCTGCAGGACGGACCTCATGCTCCTCCGCCCACTCCAGAGAGGTAATAACAGAAACAGAGATTAATGCATGGCCTTATGGAAAGTTTTTGGTGTTACAGCTTAAAGTCCTTTGTGCAGGGCTCTATGTAGCCCCTCCCATCTCTATATTTTCTGGTCATATACAAAAGTTTGGGCAACACGGTCAGATTCTATGTTTTGCTGATTTTCTAAGTGAAGATAACACACTTCTGCACACTTTAATGCACAGTTACTGTTTTTTTGCTGAATTTAACACATTGGGGGGGTGGACATAAAATGTGGCCTGTGCAAAAGTTATGGCACAGGTTTTTTTGTCCAATATGTTAAACTCTAACTAAAATTAGCAAAATGACATAGTTATGTGTGTTCTGTAGAGGATGTATAACTTACTTTCACTTAGAAAATTAACAAAACATGGAAATTCAGTGTGGGTCTGCAAAATAAGCTTGTATACCAAGATGATTTCTTACAGTGTGTGTTTGTGTGTGTGTGTGTGTGTGTGTGTGTGTGTGTGTGTGTGTGTGTGTGTGTGTGAGACTTAAGACATGTTTGCTGATTTTCTGGGTGTACTTTCTGTTGTCTTTATGGTTTGTGGTTTATACCAGGGTTTCTCAGCCACTGGGTCCAGGACCACAAGCTGTGAAGGACCCCTTGGTTGTCCTTGGACCTATTCTGAGGGGGGGGCAGTGGTCTGTAGTGGGCCTATGATGGCACTTTGTCATACAAATCAGTGACTTAACAACAAATAGAAATGCAGAAATATAAAATGTTTTCAGACAGTTAACCACATTAATACAAGCCCTGCAATATCGGTGCACAAAGGCAGCTTTAATTTTTTTGTCCTTTGCCTCCAGAAACACATGACCTTTAGTTGTCCACTCGCACCAATATTCTGTTCACTGATACACATTGCATATTGCAAGGGTAGGCGCCCAAACATCACCGTGTTGAAAATTTCCCTAAAAATGACATTTTTAAGCAGAAACGTTGGATTTTGTTGTCTTGTGGGCCTTCATGTTTTCTAGTGATAAACAGGTGGGCCTTAAGGTGGAAAAGGTTGAGAACCCCTGGTGTATACCACCTATTATGACTATTTAATAGTAATTTGGATTATTATTATTATCATCATTATTTAACATTAATAAATCATTACTATCACAACGAAACTTCATATCTTCAAAATATGTAACTTTACAGAAGAAGGAAAAACATTATAATGAAACATTCATTCATTATTCATTGTGAAATTTGAATACACTGTAACAGCCAAAAACTATATACATATAAGGTGCAAGGAAGTACAGGACACTGAACTCCAGCTTCAAAGCTTCAGATATAACGGTTCTCGCATTAGACCAGATTATTCAGCGCTTTGCTGTTGCCCTTGTGTGGTTTATCATAGTTGTCGCTCATTGATGTGAGGAATGTAGTCAGGGACAGGTTTCGCACTCTGTGAGAGAGCTGCCCCCGGTGACTCAGTGCCTTCTATGTATGTGTTGGTCTAAATGAGTAAACTCTTATCAGCCGCGAAAGGCCGTCACACAGGAAACCTGACTCATTGGGCTCATGGGAAAGCTCTAGCCCTGTCTGAGCTTATCTGACACTTCACATGAGGTTTTCACTCCCTTATATAGCTACAGAGTAGCTGCTCTGAGAACGAAGAGATTCCTTCAATTCCTAAAAACTTCAGGCACTTGGAAGGGAGTCGCGGGTTTCTTCTGTGTTTAGATGAGACTGCCAGACGCCACATTTACTCCATGTTGCAGGCGATATTTATGTTGCACAGGCCGTCCAAAATTTTCTATCAAGAATGCATTAGATAAATCTTATGGGTTTTTCTAGTAGGTTGTTCTGTAAGTTTCCCTTCCTTCTGAAAGCCAAGACTCTGTTGAGAGGCCTGCCAGTTGTGTTTCTCAGTGGAGGTCACAACATTTTCTACATAAATCAATTCTTGGTACTAAAATTCAGAGCAAGCTGCTTTGTGAAAAAAAACTAGGCTCTTTTGCTTCGCATATCAAACCTGAAGTGGATGTAATCTTAGATTTTAACTTCCAGTTTATCCCACATGTAAACGCAGACACTAAGGTAGCTTTTTATCATTTTTTATATAAAGGTTTTGCAAAGTGACGCAAAGAAGCAGAGTTGATTACTGTAATGCTCTTTTTACTGGGTTTCGTAAGAAAGCGATAATAGATAGTATCACGCTTGTCGCCACTGCCAAGTTGTTGACGTCCCACTGGTCAACATGGTGTTTGCCAAAGTACAGCCATAGTGTGCTGCGTGGTTCATGGTTGAAGTAACAACAGCATCAGTAAGCAAAACTGTGTGAGCTTTTATAGCATCCCTGTCCAACGTAATGGGGGGAAGAAGCTAAAGAGCTGAGCCAGCAAGAATAAACAAGAAAAACTTTCAGCATCTCCCGTTAATTTTATCAGAGTCTGCCCTCATCAGTCGTCACAGCTAGACAGTTAGGTGAAGAATGAATCATTTTTGAATGTTGAGAATTGTTCATGATTGACAGCTGACGTTAATTGATGACTGACTTATGCAGTCTAAGTATTTACGTCTAGATCTCTTATGCTTTAGAACAGGGGTCACAACCCAAATGTTAAGAAGAGCCATTTTGTCCTTTCAACAAAAATCAAACCACTTTGGGAGCCACAATATTTAATGTCCGTTTTACCATCTTGGCTGTAAACATGTCTCGGTATGTGCTGATGTGCTAATAAAGGCTAAAACTATAATATAAACGAAAACGCAGACTTACTTTGCTCTGCTTTAAGCTTTAGCTCAGCTATAGGTGCTTTTCTCACATCTCCGGCAGGAAACCTTTCCAAAAGTGGACTACTTTGTTGTAAAATGTCTCTCAACATTTGATTTTTTACAAGGCTGAAGTCGCTTCTCATTTGCCAGCTTCTTGTTTGAATTTTCCCGTTCCACCTTAGTGGTGCAGCTGACACCATTTTAAAGTGGAACAGGAAAATTTGAACAAGAAACTGACTTGAGCTTCGTGACTTTTTAGTGTTTGACAATTTCTTGTTGCAGATTAAACGTATCAGGAAACCAGCTGGATTGATTATAAATGCAAATAAGGCCATTCGTCTCCAAATTATCGATGCTCGTCTTAAATTTTTCGCTTTGCCCTTTCGTTAGCTATTAGCTAAGCGAGCTTGCTATGTGGCCAGCAGTCACATAAGTTAACTTCAGGGTTAAAGGGTGAATAAGCAGTTATACATTAACTCCAGCATTTAAGACCATTTTTATTGTTTTATTTTACTGCACAGAAGGATTTTAAGGATTAATCTAATTCTACTGTGGAGCTGCAACAGCAGAATAAAAGAGCTCTGATTGTACCCATCCATCTTGTAGATGGTCGTCTTCATCTTCTTTTACCTTCAACTGTTCTGAGCATAATGGTCTTTTCCAATGAACTATTCAGTCACTCAGAAAAGTCATCATTATAAGAGCTCCAGTTTTGCTATCTGGGCTTCGAGTGACAGACGAGGCTTGAATTGTTCAAGAATCCATTCATTGTTCTGTGCTTTCCAAAGGTTTTCTTTTTCGCGAGTCTTCACCAACCAAACATAAAAGGCATGTGAATTTGTCTGTCTCACTTGTTTATTGTCCAGATTTCACCTCCGTAAAGAACCACAGCCTGGACAATTCTGATCTTTTGTTTGTAAAGAAAAGTCGTTGCATTTAAAGATCTTTTTGAGCTCCTTCATCCTTGTTCTGCCGAGTGCCAGTCTATGTCATGTTTCTTGAGTGCTGGAACCTCAAACTTTTTACAATTCCATGTTTTTGACTTTTTCTATAAAGTTACTATTTTGGATATACGAGGGTTTTATACTAACAGTGAGACTGTTTACATGCACTCAGTAATCAGATTTTGTCAGTAATCTGATCAACACATTTACATGCACTTGAGTAATCTGATAATGGGAAACTCTGAAGAAGACGTGTCGTAAACGTAATGTAAAACTCAAACTTCACGACGCTGTTTTTTTTTTTTTTAAAGCATAACGCTGCTTTACCTGAACTTACATCGTCTAGAAGATGAAGAATATTCAAATCCTTTATTTCGGGTTTGGTTTCAGCGCCGCTCCAACAGTGTTTTGCTGCATCTCGCGACATCCACTGTCTGATCTCGCGCATGCGCAGACTGAGAAATCCGATAGAAATCAAAGTAAGAGTTCGCATGCACTGAGAAATCTGATTACTGAGCTAAAATCCAGCCTCTTTATCGCATTTCTTAATCTGACTTCTAGATAGTGTTTACATAACCATTTGAATAATCGGATAACTGCAGAAATCCGATTATGCCAGTTTTCAATGTAGTGTTGCAGATCACTGTTGCTTCAATTGATCTCGTTCGATGGTTTATTTGCATTTTCATAGATAAAATGCCCACATTTCTGGAACACTACATGATGTTCCAGTCATTTAAGCTTATAGAGTTTGTAGTACAGCACAGCAGCTGATTTAAAGGGCTGGTTGTTTAAAGGGGGTTTAAAACTGGGTGCATTAAAGCAGGGGGGGAAAAATGCATGAAAAGTTATGAATGTGAAATATGAAAGGGCTCTATATTCTCTGTGGTGTCTGTTTACAGATCAACAGGCTTCCTGAGGAAGATCCTGAAGAAGCGTCCTCATAAGGAGGCTCATACTCCAGAGGATGGAGATCTGACTATGGCTGCTGCTTTGGCTGAAAAAGCAGAAGGTACTTGCTGTAACACTGAACCACATCAGAATGATGAGCAGCGATTTCACAGAATCTTAAAAAGTACATTTTCGGCCAAACAATCACTTTAAATGCAGTGTGGTGACTGATGTTAATTTCTGTCCAAGTATGATGGTTTTGAGTTGCCAGACCAACCAGATTTTTTTTTTCTCTCTCTCTCGCGCTCTGTCTCTGTCTGTCTGTCTATATCTCTCTCTCTCTCTGTCTCTCTCTCTCTCTCCATCTCTTTCTATCTCTCTCTCTCTGTCTATCTGTCTGTCTGTCTGTCTGTCTGTCTGTCTATCTATCTATCTATCTATCTATCTATCTATCTATCTCTCTCTATCTCTCTCTCTCTCTCTCTCTATCTCACAGCTACCTCTCCCTCACGTTCACATCATGCTGAGCCACCCAGCGGGCGTATGATTCGTAACCCCACCATTAAGATCAGTCGGGCGACCCGAGTCACGGAGCAGTGGAACGCCTCGCTGGACAGAGAGATCACCAACGCTAACGAGCTTCGGAACTTGGATGAGTTCCTCGGAAATCAGGTCAGATTTAGCATAAATACAGCAGGACTGCACAATTTATCATTGGCATAATTGTGATCCAGGCCTTTGTAATATCTTGATATTTGGGATTGGTCCGATGTGCAGATGAGACCTCTAACAGATTACAGACCAATCCTGACCAATCACAGACGTTTCAGATGAGTTCTGTGGGTATTCTGATGAGTCAAAAATTGTATGTTATCCAACTGTTGTTCTTTTCAGTGTACTGCCAATAAGCTTGGAAGATAGTCAAACGATTGTTTTCAGGCTTATTGCAGTAAACAATATTATTGCGATCCAAGTTTAGTTACACAGTGCCACATGTGATCATCATCATCAGAGCCATTTTACCCTTCAGATGGCATTTTCTCTGATGAGAATATGGTTACCATATAATTAACTGGACTAGATTCTAATATTACTTAGTACTTTACAATAATAATGCGTTATAAGGATAATGCATTAGATTGGAAACCAAAATATTGCCAATACTCTCTACTGGAGAGCAGATCGTAAGTACTGGAGTTTTTGTTTAATTTACATATTCCTCAGCATTCTTTTGAAATACAGAAAAAATCTTGTTTATATCGCCTGTTAGATGCAATATTTTCTGTTGTATAGATTTTTGTACTAACCATTGCTTAGCATGATTGTTCAAGAGGAATGGTTAAATGAAAAGGGCATGTGACAGAGAATGAAAGAACACTAGTTCACCCAATTTCAGCATTTAAGTCATCAGATGTTTTCCAGTGTGTCTCTGACAGGCTACCAGGTATATATGGTCATTGCGAATTGTGAATTTCTTATTTTCTCTCTCGTGTAGGTGAATGATCTGCGCTCTAGGGGGAAGCAGCTATCTGCAGCGGAGCACATCTTCATCACAGCCACCATGCAGTTCAGAGCAGACATCAAAAGCATGTACTCTGTCGCTGTAAGTGCAGACAGCTGATATGTACACTATACACTAACTAATTGTTGATAATAATAACAATGATGATAATACATTAAACTTGCATGGCGCTTTTCAAGAACCCAAAGACGCTCAAAATAGTAATAGAACACAGAACACAGAACACCACGAGACAAACAAGAAAACACAGAGGCTTGACAGGAAAGTAGAATGACACACAGTGTCGAAGGCTGACCTAACATAATAAAGGCCAATTTATAGTTTATAAGTGTCGCTCAACAAAAAAAACTGTGGTCAACGCAGAGCTGTAGGCTTTTATAGTCCTGCGGCAACGACAAAACGCTGGAATAGAACATCATCTGTAGTTTCTATGAAAACCTGTATGACAGCGCAGCTAGTGAAGCTGCAGCGAAACTGCACAGAACAGTCTGAAAACAGCTGTTTAAATGTATATTGATCCTAGTTCTGAATAACTGGCAACCTGTTCTGTTTCTGAAAGTAGCAGAGCAGCAAGAAAGTAAACGCAGCTGCACACCGCGACCACAGCAACAGTGCAGATCGTAGAACTTTGAGTTTCTGTCCAATCAGAGTGCGCGACAGCGTCTGCGCCCTTTGAAAATTTATGTACACGTCAAGGTCTGCGACACCCTAGCAGACACAAATTTTGTCTCTTATGTCATTTTTTGTCGAGCGGCGCTTGTTACCTGGACTATAAAATATGCTTAAGAACGCTTAGGGCTCCAGCACCTGCAGGTGCAAGGTCATTTATGACTTTAGTCAAGGCAGTTTAAGTACTGTGGTGCTTACAAAAACCAGACTGCAAAGGTCCAAGAAGATTATTGCTTTCTAAATAAGGCTGCAGGTGTTTAGCAACAACTAGTTCAAGAATTTTAGATAGAAGTGGAAAATTTGAAACTGACCATTTATTTGCATTAGTTGGATTTTTTGAGAATCAAGAGTAACTGCAGTTGGTTTATAGACAATAGGAACTTGGCCAAGAAGCAGTAATCAAATAACAAGCATTGTGAGATGGGGAACCAGAGTGGGTAGACAGGCTTTAGTTAAGATGGTCGGCAGGTGGAAGCTTCAGGGACTGTAACAATATCAGCAAAGTGAGAAGAAACAAGAGTACTAAAAACAGAAAGACATGCAGAGAATGAGGCCCTAGATAAGAGTTCAAGGAGGGTGTACTAGTTGAAGAGGCCACTAAAGAGCTATTGATTTTCTCTCTAGTAGCAGGTTTGGTGCAGGTCCTCTGTGCTCCCACACCACAGAAATAACATTTTAGAAAGAATGTGTCCAAATTTGACTAATGCATTTGTTACAGCAGGACCAATCATCTGAAATAAAATGAATTATGCGACTTTCAGTCTTAATGCACAGCAGTTACACGAATCGTTACTTTATTGGCTACGAATTTGGAGGAATTAGCGCTTAAACAACTGGATAGATTTACGTAAATTGTACAGAGTACAAATGACAAGCAGGTAAATATGCATAAATACAATGCACAGCCACAATGGGTATAAGAAAGCATACAGTCATAACAAAGCATACATACAGTCGTAAGTTTGAACACCCCTGGTCAATTTCATGTTTTGTTGATAACACATCCTCTACAAAAGTAAATATGCCATTTTTCAGCACATTTTAGTGTACAGTTTTATTTATTGACTGAGTTTAACATTTTGGAAAAAACAACATAATATTAAATATACCATAACTTTTGTATAGGCCACATTTTTCCAATATGTTAAATTCCGCAAATTAACAGTAATTGTGCATTAAACTGTGCAGAAGTGTGTTTTCTGTAGAAGATGAGTACTTATGTTCATCTTTCTCTTTGCTGTCCTGCAGAAGCTGCGTATTGGCTACAAGGGCCTGATGAGGAGCTACCGAAACAAAGTGATCAGTTTAGCCGGAGAAAAGCAGAAAGGAGAAGTGCCGCTGGTGGTCAATCTGTTCCAGTCTGTGCTGGACGGCTTCATCAGAGGGGAAATCAAAAGAGAAGAGGCTGAACCTGCCAAGGTAGTAACAAAAAGATTAATAATGATGACAATGATAATCTGTTTATATGAGTACAAAGTATGTAGACACACACAAACAGTACAATAAACTAAGCGGAAGTTATGAGATAACGGTGGTGAATTGTTTCACATATTTAAATCATAACCCAAAGCCCAAAGTTTGTTTTTGGGTAAAAAGCATGAAACATAGAACATTCAGTCTGTGTTTGAATGGAATAATTAAAAATACAATCCAGTTCTATGAATATAAGCACAGAATAGGTTTGCTGTTCTAACATTTACCTGCATCTCTCTCAGCCCGTGAAAGGTCGTAAGAAGAGGCGGAAAAAAGACAAGAACGTAAGTAGCATCACGTACATAAACAAATACACGTAAAAGCCCATTAAAAGCATCCTGATACATCAAATTCCTTCTCTAACCATGAGCTGTTTTCTTCAGTTGGAGAGTCCACTGGACCACATGTTCACTCACTACCAGGTCAACATCATGCAGTCATGTGATCAGTGTACTTCCTACATCTGGGGGATGGAGAAAGCCTACGTGTGCAGTTGTGAGTATGCAGCCAGCGCTTGTTTCAGTTTGGTGTTGTACAGGTTGTACTGTCCATTCAAAAAAAGTAATATATTTAAATCTTTGATGTATTATACAGCCCTGTTTCCAAAAAAAGTTGGGACGCTGTGCAAAATGTAAATACAGACATTATGTGACGATGTGCAAATCATTTAAACCCTACATTTAATTGAAAACAGTACAAAGACAACATATCAGATGTTGAAACTGAGAGATTTTATTGTATTTTGAAAGATATATGCTTATTTTTAATATGATGCCAGCAGCATGTTTCAATGTTAAAAAAAAAAATGCTAAAAATGTAAAAAAAATAAATAAATAAAACACCTGGTGGAATATCTCACAAGTGATTAGGTTAATTGGCAGCAGGTCAGTAACATGATTGGGTATAAAAGAGCATCCCGGAGAGGCTGAGTCTTTCAGAAGTAAAGATGAGGAGCGGTTCACCACTCTGTGAAAGACTGCATGAGCAAATAGTTTAACAGTTCAAGATGGACTGAGGTCCTGTGGGCCGATGATTTAAAATCTGGAATTCATTTAGGAGATCATGAACACTGCGTCCTCCAGGCTAAAGACCATCCAGCTTATGCAGGCACAGTTCAAAAGCCTGCATCTGTACTGGTATGGTGTTGCATTAGTGGAACGGCATGTGTGACTTCCTACGTATCTCAGCCAAAATTGACACTTTGAAAAGCTCAATATGCTTTACCTGTGTAAAATTTTACCTGTTCATTTTGCAGCAGTTTAATCAATGTATACGTCCAATTTTTGAACATTCCCAGCTCTCTGCTAGTGAGTGTTTGTTTTCTAAACATTGTTTCTGTGTTTCAGATTGTAAACTTGTTTGCCACAAGAAGTGCCTGTCAAAAATCACTACTGATTGTAATACGTTCTGCTCAAAGAAGGTAAGACTTAGTCTTTTGACAAGACTCTTACTGCATTTGCATATCAGTGTCACCTTATTAGGATATATGATGTCGAGTATAATTAGGATTTATTGATGTTGAGTATAATTAACTGCAGAGTGTTGCCTGATGTAATGAATATTCAGCACATTTTAAATATTACCATAAGGGTAAACTCTGTTAGCAATATGGTGAAAGGTGGTTGCTTTGGTGTCTTGCGTCATTGCCGTGGGATTACAGGTGGTTGCTAGGTTGCTGCTATGTGGTTGCTATGATATTGTACCTGGTTGCTAGGGTGTTGCTGGGTGTTTGTTAGGTGGTGGCTAGACTGTTATTGTAGACAGGTGGTTGCCATGGCTGGTTGGTAGGGTATTTTTAGGTGATTGCTATGGTATTCCAATACTCCTACTTCCAATACATCCAGTTCTTTATTTAAATAGGCTAACATTTATGTTAATTAAATTGAGCATGCTAATTTGACTTGACGAACAGAGGCATGCATGTAAGCATAGCTGATACATACAGGTGGAGTTTTATTCGGTAACATACACGAGTGGATCAGACACAGCAGTGCTGCTGGAGTTTTTAAACACTGTGTCCACTCACTGTCCACTCTATTAGACACTCCTACCTTGTCAGTCCACCTTGTAGATGTGAAGTCAGAGACGATAGCTCATCTGCTGCTGCACAGTTGTGTTGGTCACCCTCTAGTCCTTCATCAGTGGTCACAGGACGCTGCCCACAGGACACTGTTGGCTGGATATTTTTGGTTGGTGGACTATTCTCAGTCCAGCAGTGACACTGAGGTGTTTAAAAACTCCAGCAGCACTGCTGTGTCTGATCCACTCAGACCAGCACAACACACACTAACACACCTCCACCACGTCAGTGTTACTGCAGTGCTGATAATGATCCACCACCCAAATAGTACCTGCTCTGTGAGGGTCCATGGGGGTCCTGACCACTGAAGAACAGGGTAAAAGGGGGCTAACAAAGTATGCAGAGAAACAGATGGACTACAGTCTGTAACTGTAGAACTACAAAGTGCACCTATATAGTAAGTGGAGCTGATAAAATGGACAATGAGTGTAGAAACAAGGAGGTGGTCATGATGCCTGATCGGTGTGACTATAACTTCTTATTAATCAACATGAGCTATTTCCTGTTTATTTACATGTTAGGCTGTCGTATTTCCTCATCTTGCCTTCTTGGCTTGCTGAACGAGGACATGTTTAAGCTATTTATTTTTTATTTATTTAAACTTAGTGTTTTATATTGTTAGAGATTGAATTTAGAAAATCTGAGATGTTGATTTACACAATTTGAATGTCTAAAGGCAATCAGTATTCCAAGAATGGGTGTGTTTTGATTTTTTTTTTTCCCAGTTTGTATCTAATGCACTCTCCTGTTGTCTTGCTGCTGGATCAGAATGAAGAGGATTGTGGTTCTCAGCACTTTGGCGTGAGTGTGTGCCATCTAGTCAGTGACAGGATCCCTGTTCCTGAGGTGCTGGAGCTCATGCTGGAGCATGTGGAGATGAACGGCCTCTACACCGAGGGCATCTACAGAAAGTCTGGCTCAGCCAACCGCATGAAGGAGCTCCGGCAGCTTTTAGAAGCTGGCAAGTCTTTACACCAACTGGTGTCTGCCCCCATAAACCTGCATGCACCTAATATAGACTTAATTTACTGTCCTACTTACTGTATCCATTTGGTTATCGCCAAGCTTTGGTGTCGTCTGTGAATGATTTATGTAAGGGGAGCCTGTCTGCTTCAAGGCATAAATGCCTTCAGTGTCTAGAGCTAGCTTTAGCATTTTATGGTCTGCTTCCCGTTATGTTAGCATTTTAGCTGTTGGTTTAATTACCCATTTAAAGGAGGAAATTCCATTCCTGCACAGTTAAACTGTTAAGATGTAAACAAAGTCTATCATGGTGGTTTGATGTGAAACGCTCTGTTCTAGAGTGAAAAATGTTCACAGTGGTGGTGATAGGAACCAGACGTCTGACGTGCCTCAGACATTGTTTTATGATACTTTTATTATTTTTTTAATCTATTCATGGAGGAGAGGTACACATAGGGCATTTAAAGGCAAAAGAAAACCTTTCCCCCCCAGATTTATCACTATTTTGCCCTCAGCAATCCATATCAACACATGAAGGTTCCCTGGTGTTTATGGATTGTAAATAAAATATTTCTGTTGTATAAACTGTGACCCCTGGCTCCTGTCACCACCACTGTGAATAAAATCAGAGTGAATAAGTTTCTCTAAAATGGACTATTTCACAACAAACCATGTTTATTTTACACATCAACAACTAGATTCTGCAGAAATTTTGAAAAATCGTTAGGATCCTCCTCTTATGCTCCAGGGTATATTTTGGTTTTTCCATCTGAATTTACATGAACAAATCATAAGGCAAATTATTCAGTAACTGCATGAAATAAATGTAAATTTTATTCTTTTTATTTATTTATTTATTTATTTATTTATTTATTTTAAAAGTTCCCCTCAAATTAACAGAAAATGTGTTTTATGATCACACATATTGCTATATGCTTACAATTTACTGCTGAAAGCCAAAAATCTTAGACACTCTTTGTGTTATTTTATAAAAATAGTTTGTACAGAGCAGATCACTGAAGAGACGCCATCTGTTTATAGTTTATAGCCCAGATTTGTGGAAAAATGTGTCGACTTTCAGTAGAAAAAAAATTGAGTTCAGCTTCTTTTATTATAAAGTTTAAAAATTACATCACCCATTTATTTGACTGGAAAGAAGACAGTTACAGCTCTCATACGACCCCCACCTTTAGAACGTAGCTTATGAAATATGAAAGTTATGAAGAATATGACAAAGTGCATTTTGGAACCACTGGTGGTCTCGAGGAGTTAAAGAGGTTAAAGACAAAAATTTTAGGCCTAATTAAAGCTCTGCCTCTGTTGATACAGTGTATGAGACGTTTCCTCATATCTGAGTAAAGCATCTGTTCATGCGCTCATCTGCTACAGTCTTTGCCATGTCTTCATCTCCAGATCCCCATTCAGTGTGTTTGGAGGACTACCCCATCCATGCTGTGACCGGTCTGGTGAAACAGTGGCTCAGAGAACTTCCTGAACCCCTCATGACCATCAGTCACTATAACGACTTCATCCAGGCAGTCGGTGAGTTTCACAGCACTTCCACTGTTTGTTCTGCTCCGGCTCACTGGAGCCAGTTAATGAAGGGTTGTGGAACACTGATCACCTGTTTCAGGTGAGCTGGCAGGTGGAATAGAACAGAAATATGGACGGGCAGAATCTAAGCTGCTGCTGTAGCTCATCAGTTTCTTTTGCACAATAAGCCCAGAGGTGTGGTGCTGTGAAATCGGGGCTTCGGTGGGAGTATTGTTTATATACGCTCTTAAAAATGATGGTGCTTCAAAGATTCTTTGAGTGCTCATGGTTCTACGTAGAACCATTTTCTTTACTAAAGAACCCTTTGCATGAAGTGTTCTTCAGGTTGATGGAGAATGTGCTGTAGATGATTCTATATAGAACCTTATTGAAAAGAGTTCTATATAGCACCTAAAAGGGTTCTTCTGTTATGATCCCAAGCTTGCTATCTAGAACCCTTTTCAAAAAGGTTCTACAGAGAACCATCTACAACTCATTGTCCATCAATCTGAAGAACCCTTTCACGATGCAGGAACCCTTTTAATATTCAGAGGGTGCTTTGAGTGCTCATGGTTCTACATAGAACCATTTTCTTTACTAAAGAACCCTTTGCATGATGGAAGCATTCTTCAGATTGATGGTGAATGTGCTGTAGATGGTTCTATGTAGAACCTTATTGAAAAGGGTTCTATATAGCACCAGAAAGGGTTCTTCTGTTATGATCTGTATTATGAAGGGTTCTTCGTGATTCATGGTTCTGTATAGAACCATTTTCTGTACTAAAGAACCCTTGAAGCACGATCAGTGTTAAGTGTGCTGTTTAGTTTGGCACGTTTTTTTTTCTCCCGATTTTTCCTCATATTTAGTCTCATTTTTCTCTCTTAGAAAAATCTTTTTTTTTTTTTATTGACACTGTTACAGCTTTTCTTATTGTTTTATGTTATCATAAGTCTCTGTCTCTTTCTCAGCTGCTCTCCACTCACTCTAAATTGTATTATCTGTTTTGTCAGATTTACCTGAGAAGCAGGAACAGCTACTTGCCATCTATAGAGTTTTAGAGGAGCTCCCTACAGCCCACTACAACACTCTGGAGAGACTCGTTTTCCATCTTGTCAGGTATATAAAATAAGATACTGTGAAAAAGACTAAATGCTTCATCACTTTTGTGATGCGTTTTGGCCATTTAAGAGCTGAAATCCAATTTTATTGTGCGATTGTCTTTCCAGGGTGTCAAGAGAGGAGAAGAGTAACAGAATGACCCCCAACTCGCTGGCTATTGTCTTCGCTCCCTGCATTCTGCGCGGCCCAGACAGTGCCGACCCCCTCCTCAGCATGAAGGACGTCGCCAAGACAACCACGTATGTCTCTGTTGTCCTGTAGCATTGAACAGAAATCACTAGATTTTTTTTTTTTTTCTTTATTTTGTGAGTCATGGTTTTCGGTGTGTATGTGAACAAAAAATACAATGGTATAATAAATACATGCTAATTAGTAAAAAAAAAATCATATGAAAATCAGTGTCATATAAATGTTATAGAGCGCTTTTTAAATGAAACAGTAGAAGCCATATCGCCCCCTACACTTCCTGTAGTGTATTACAGTCTGTCAGAATGACTGTGTGGATCATATGAACATTATAGAGGCTTTTTAAATGAAACAATAGAAGCCATATCGCCCCCTACACTTCCTGTAGTGTATTACAGTCTGTCAGAATGACTGTGTGGGTCATATGAACATTTATAGAGCACTTTTTTTAAATGAAATAGTAGAAGCCATATCGCCCCCTACACTTCCTGTAGTGTATTACAGTCTGTCAGAATGACTGTGTGGGTCATATGAACATTTATGGAGCACTTTTTTTAAATGAAATAGTAGAAGCCATATCGCCCCCTACACTTCCTGTAGTGTATTACAGTCTGTCAGAATGACTGTGTGGGTCATATGAACATTATAGAGGCTTTTTTAAATGAAACAGTAGAAGCCATATCGCCCCCTGTATTTCAGCAGAGGTAGAGTGGGGGTGTCTGAGTTCTGATTTCTCTCTCACCACTAGTCAGCCTGTCTGTTTGTGTTTTCTGCAGGTGTGTGGAGATGCTGATAAATGAGCAGATCAGGAGATACAATGAGAAGATGGAGGAGATCGAGCAGCTGGAGTACGCAGAGACGCTGGCCAAGAACCAGCTCAAACTGAAGAGGAATAACACGGTGAGCTCAGAGAGGATAAAGCAGCTTCTCAGCTACATGTGCATCGCTTGATTCCAGGCTTTTTAAACTTTGACCAAACATTCCTTGGTTTGTGTCGTGTCTGTCTGTTGCTGTGTGTTTCTGCCTGTGTGTTAGGGCTGCACAATGTGGACAAAAATAGTAGAATTGCAGTTTTATTGCTATATATTGCGTTTAGAATATTAATTAGATCTGAAACTTTGATTCAAACTCAAATACAGCCAAAGAACATTCTGTCCTGTCCAGACCCAACCCACACCATCGTTTTGAGTCCTTACACGACCCGTGCCGAACAAAATACTGTCCAAAACTGACCCGAAACTGACCAAAATGTTCAGAATAAAACCTGATAGAATAGCAGTGCTTAAAATTCTGCTCAGCGAAAATTGTAGCCATTGGGTCATCGATAAATAAAATCTTAAATTATTTATCCCAAACTTTTTTTTTTAGTCTGGATAAACTTCCCATACCACGCTGTTCTCATGCTGAGTGGTAGAGCTTGAAATACTTAATCGAGCCTGATGAGGTGTCAAGCTTGGGTCGAATTCAAATTTCATAGTTGAGTTCTCAGCCCACCTCCCACTTTTAACAGAATTTATAGTTTTAATAGTTAATAGTTTTTTTTTTGTTTGTTTGTTTTTTATCCTTTCTTTCTTTACTGTCAAAGCATTTTTAATCATGTATGCTGAAGTCCTGAATTTACTGCTGAGATTAGAGGTTTACTCAGACCTGATATTTTCGTCCGAACCCGACACAAAGTATCGCGTTTTGGGTCAGGAGCTGATCCAAGTACAAAATAATTCTGATGCAGACCAGCCCGTCATCACCCAAAGTGCAGAATACACTATAATAAAAGAATCAGGTGGACAAACTAAAAATAAGGCTGTTATTTTACATTTTTATATATATATATATATATATATATATATATATATAATGTTTTTTTCTTCACTATATAATAACATTTTAGATTATTTTTTGCTTTATTTGTCTGTGATGTAATGATGGCTGTTATTGTCATTAACTATAATTTAACCGTTGCTGTCCTTTAAGGTTTGTTTAACGCTGTGAGTGATAATGAGCCGGCTCAGGTCAGTTTTATTTTTGTTGGGCTTAGGTCAGTTTCTTACTCAGAACATGATGATGAGGTTTGGATCAGGTTCAAACAAAATGTTATCTGGCTCGAGTAAAACTTAATAGAGTTGGGCCGGTCTCAGATAGTTCTCGGGCTGTGTTCGGGTTCAGACCAAAGTTTCAGACCTGATTTAAAGCTCTGCTGTTCGGTGCTGATATAGGAAGATGGTAGCCTTAACCCTAAAACTCTCTTGCTTTACATGTTAGAAATACTTGGATCAGGGGTGCACAACCCCAGTCCTGGAGGGCTGGTGTCCAGCACAGTTTGGCGGTTTCCCTGCTCAAACACACCCACTTAACCTGGCAATTAACAGAGAAGTGTAATCAGGTGTGTCGGAGCAGGTAAATCACCAAACTGCTGGACACCAGCCCTCCAGGACCGGAGTTGAGCACCCTTGACCCCTGAGAAAAACGTAGACTATTTTTAGCCAAATAAAATATTAAAGTCATTTTGGCTCGACTAAATTTTACTCTCCTGAATCAATAAATGGTTTTATTTCCCACGCATCCGTTTTCTCTGGAGTTTCTGCATCATGGCCCTCAGTTCTAAATATTGTCAACAACTCAGGAATGCAGCCACAACATGGCAGATATCACAATTATGATTAACATAAGGTATATTGTGCAGCCCTTGTATGTATATGTGTGTGTGTGTGTGTGTGTGTGTGTGTATCGAAGCATTATTCTGTCGGTGTGTTTTTCAACCAGCTCAATGTTTTTTCTGCTTTTTGTGTTTGTTTTCGGTCTCTGTAGAGCTGGCATTTACCCCTCAGGTTTACCTCTCCTTACAAAGGAGTGGCGGTATGTATTTTGCGCTGTGCAGTCGTAGTGTGTAGTGTGTGTGTGTGTGTGTGTGTGTGTGTGTAGTGTGTGTGTGTGTGTGTACTAACTCCCACTGGACTGCATTTCTGTGTGTGGTGCTCTAATGTGGTTGCAGCATGTGATGTTTTACGGCACTAGTTCTGGTTTTGGGATGTTTTTGTTGGATGGCATGATTTCTCACAGCTTTCTCTTCAAAGTCATGCATCAGTTTAAAACTTCTTTTTTCATTCATCTGAGGCATTCATTCTCTTTTGTTTCTTTTCTTTCTAGTCTTAATGTAAATTCATATACTGGTTAAAAAAATGGAAGTATTGTGATCTTCAGTAATATTTTTATTCATCCCTCATTTGCATGCAGTATTGGTGTTGGCCAGAAGCATACTTCACGCAAATACGCGAACACTTCAGGCTACACAACCTCAATTTTGTCATTGTGTTCTATAATGTGTCATATCAAGGGCTCTCAAAGTTATTATTAAAGTTTTAAAAATGCACAGTTATTAATTTATTAACACATTGTCCTAGTTTGACCCTCTTAACCCATCCATAGAAGTGCAGGCAGAAGCCCTGCTGTAATGCACCGTATGTTGCGCTGATAGAATCTGTGATTGAAGCCCTTAAAGCGATACTTTCAGTAGTCTGCGCTGGACAGTGCTTTTAGGAGACCTATGGATAAATCAACAAGCAGCAAACTAACAAAAGCAACAGCAATGTGGGGCTCCAGCTCCCCTCAAAAGCCTCCACTCTAAAAAGAAAGCAAGAAGCTACTGTTGCAGCGGAGTTTGAATAATTGACCGTATATATGATCTGTCTTCGCTGTTGGACAAAAATCTAAAAAATGGCAACTTTTCAGGAGAAGAAAAGCAGCTTCTTAACCTTTAATGTAAGTTAATGTGAAAAGATATTATTACAAGCAATTTTTTTGGAGCTTTATCGAAAAATTAAAACGAGATGCAAAGTTGTGTTCCTGCAGTGTATCACTAGATGTCGTGATGAGAATTGGTAACTTGGAAAACCACGTGGTTTTCATGTTCAGGTTCGTGTTAACTCTGCTTTTACATGATGAAAATTGTTATTGAATTTCAAAAAGTATTAAATACATTCTGAGGACGCTTTCTTTATCCATCACATAACAAAATTCACTGTCTTTTTAATAGACACAATCTTCCTTTAGGGTCAGATTTGCGCAGTTGCGATTAATCATGATTAATTGTGCTGTTTTATATAGTTAATCATGATTATTTTTCATTGTTTGACACTTTTAGTCATAACACACTTCAAAACAGTGCAAGCGGTGTTCTAAGCGTTTCCATAAGGGGCGCTTTAGCAGGCTCAAAAGAGACTAAATACTGTCGATCACTGATAGAAAGTGGGGAGTGTGGCCTGCAAAAATATCTTTTTCAGTTAGCAAATATCCTTGAATACTGAGGTTTATGACCGCCGCAGTAATGTAAGTGCATGTTAAGTTTGTAAAACAGGCCGTACGTTTGCAGTGCTCTGGTCAGGCGTTAAGTATGTTTCTGGTCTAAGACTTCACTAACACCCTCAGTTCCTTTGTATGAGCCTCGGGCTGAGGATTAGTCATCCTTTTCATTTACTAACCAGAATGGAGTGGTCTTGGTTCCGATTGTTACTTGGTCATGTTATTGTTCTAAGTCCCATGTGTCAAACACAAGGCCTGCAGGCCAGATCAGATTCCCTGACACAATCCTGTCTGGCCTGCAAAAGTATTTTAATTTTCTGTTAATATTAGCCTGTTTCACAATGTGCTGTACTACAGTCCCCAGCATGCACTGCAACATATGCGCTCTGACTCTCCTACCCCAACAGCAGTCTGTGGGTCAGCGGTTACACCTCAATTCTACACAATTCTACACAGTTCCGCACCAGTCATATCACCAAATGCACTAACTGCATTTCAGCTTCAGTTCAACCCACATTAACACCAAACGTCAGCTCAGCATCTCAGAAACTGAGCCCAAGTATTAACGAACTTGCAGCAAAGGAAGGGTGGCAGGCGTCTCGTTCATGCAAATAGGCAGGATTAAAAGACTGAGCTCCTGGGAACATTTAAGTTTTGAATTTTTCAAATGTCCATATAATATTTCAAGGTCTACAACAAGTGTCTGTATTTTACTGTTAATGTTTTTGCATATTTTGAATAAACAATGGGTGTTTGGGGTTATTGCCCAACATTAATTAAAAATTAAATTTTTTGGGATTTGTTAACATTTTTAAATTTGGCCATTTTGCTGGTTGAGTTTGACAGCCCTGTTCTAAGTAATGCCCAGGTGCCCTTTTAGTTTGGTGACATTACAGAGTCATGAAGAGGTGGAGAAATGTCCTGACTGTTAATAAATACTATTACTAGTTTTGAAAGGTGAATAAATCTAGACCAATAAATTGTGTTAAAGAGCCCCTATCATAGATTTTGGGGGGAAAAAACATATTTCCTCACTTTTTTTAAATGAAAGTTTGATGTGTGGAACTCAAGTTTCATTCAGTCCCCAGTCCGTGTATGGAAACTAAGCTGAAAATCCAGTTAATAAACATATTGTCTCTGCAGCCTTTAGCCCCGCCCATTCCAGCTGAAGTTGCAAGGTGTTTCAGATTGTAGTGGTTTTTGAATGAGGTAGAGCCAATCAGAACTAAGATCATTTAAATGTGTTGATCTTAAAGACAGAGTAACAAAAACGGTCTGTTTAATTCTCAGGCATGAAGACAGTTTGGAAAATGATCATGCAAAAATGAATTATACCAGTTTGCGGTAAATAAACACTCACTAATGTCATAGGAGGACCTCAGAGACACAAAAGAAATAAGAAAAATGTAGAGTATGGGCCCTTTAATGGCACTGGTTGCCTGCATCACAATATTAAGTTTTATTTTAATACATTCTCCAACAAATACAGGTGACAGGTTAGGATCACTTGCAGACAGGAATATGAACCTCAAACGGTTCAGTGCAGTGGGTTGAAACTATGAACTTAGATTTTTTTTTTTAACACCCTTGACTGGAGTTGTTAATAACACATTGTTGGTGTCTGTCTGGGCTGCAGATGCGGGAGAAGCCTTTGTCCGATCTGAGTGTTGTCCCTGAGAATGAACCACTCGACTCTGACACGGAGGCGGAGAGGAATCTGGTGGAGCGGATCAAGTCCATCAAACAGGAGAAGTACGTATCAGCACCGATTTAAACTCTGACATTCTGACATGATGCTTTATTAAAGTAATAAATATCAGAGCGTTACAGTGGTTTTTACCACAGTTAAGGTGTTTTGGGCACAAAGCTAAGTAAAAAAAATCACTGTTCCTCGTACAGGGAGAGGATTACTGCTCATATAAGATGCTGACAGAATGAATGCTGAAATACACCAATAAAATTTTAATAATTGTAATAAAAATATATTTCCACCAAACACTGTAGTTCTTTCACAGTAAGCTGTAGTTGCTGAGCAGTATAACCTGGGGCTTTACTACAGAACACAGATATGTGTGGTCATATATGTATGTATATTGAGGATTTTAACTTCAGACTATCAATATTTCTATCAAAATAATTTTTTAAATTAGAAAATATTGTGTTAATTATTGCCCAGGCCTAATTTGGATGCCCCCCACAAAAAGGATGTAATAATTTTGAAAAAGGATGTAATAATTATTTTTTTTTTATCAAAGAATACAAATTTTAATTTTGCTCGGGAAGTTCAAGATTTTTCTCCGTATCTGCGGAACTTCTGGCCAATCAGGTTGAGGCTTTATCGGCCTCAGTGGCTTGCACAGCTGGGTGAAAAGGAACTACAGTGTCTGGCTCCGAAAACTGCAGCCTCCTCCGCCAGATCAGTGTGGTTTAGGTTATCATGACCACAAAATAAACTAACATACACTGTACTGAGCCAGGCGGTGATCGATCTGCACAGCAGCGCATTTAGTCAAATGAACCCACTGTCAAATCGTCAAAACTAAGCATCTGGATGCAGCCTATCAGAGTAAAGTTGATGGAGGGGGCGGGGCTTATGCTGCGGACACATCCACACTGAAATGTTTTTTTTTTTTGGAAATTCTAAATTCTGGTTGTGATTTTTGGGGCTTATTTTGAAAATCATATTGGAATGTATTCGTGAAAGGTATGAATATCACACCACTCGTTTTGAATGAACAATGTGTGTGTTCCAGAGAGGACCTGGCCTGCAGGCTGCCGGATTTGGAGCAGCCCGGTTCGGATCAGGAGAACCTGGACTCCGAGGCCTCGGCCAGCTCGGAGAGCCTGCTGGACGACCGGGCACTCAGTTCGGACACGGAAGGTCAGTATTAAGGTACAGAAACCGTGTCTTTTTTTTCTTTTCCCAGCTGTTTCTAATGTGGCCCTGTGGAGTGACCCATGTGTGGCTGCTGTCCCTGTTTGTGGTACAGGTGTGGACAGGACGCTGCTGATGCAGTTAAAGAGGGTGGCAGTTCCGGCTGCTCTGTAGCAGGTTGTTATCTAACGTGTGTAGAGGGTGGTGTGGGGTTTACTGTGGATGCTGGTGCATGTTAGGGGTTGTGTTTTGTGTTTGGCATGAGTTAAAGCATGGTGTCAAATTCTGTACGACAGTTTTTTGTTGGTTGTTTTTTTTGTTTGTTTTTGTTTTTTTTGTTTGTTTGTTTTTTAAGGGAAATTCTGCTGATTTAAATAAATGGTCAACCTATAAAAAGTCGAGAAATGCTCCATTCTAGAGAAACATGGCAAGTCAGAATTGTTCAGTGGTGGTGATGGGAACCAGACATCTGAAAAGTTTAATGCCTCTAAAACCAACTCTAAGACTAAAGTGCTGCAGAGATTAGCATTGACCCTCATTTAACGTTCTGAATTCAGTTCATGAAGACTTTGCTAATTAGCTGATGAGCTGAATCAGGTGTGTTTAATGAAACAGTGTTCTGAAGTCTGTTTTGGCCCATGAGGACTGGAGCCGGACACATGCTCTAAAAGATACCCCACAGAAAGTTATTACATGAAATGGTTATTAATACGCTGCCTGATGGCCATATTCGTGTTGTGCCTAAATGGCTATATTTGTGTGGTTCCCCTGGTTCCTATCACCACCACTGTAAAGAAATCTGAGTGTCTACAATCAACCCTTTCACACCAAACCACTCACCTTAACCACTGAATTATGCAGTAGTTAAATATTAGTGGAATTCCCCTTTAATGTGTGTGCGTGTCTGTTTTTGTGATCTAACGGTGGTTCTCAATCCTGTTTAATGTAAATATTGTTTACATTAGTTTCAAAGCATTTTGTTCTCTCCCCAGTTCATACAATCCATATGTCATCACTGTCCGAAGAAAAACAAACATCTTCTTTTTTCCATTTTTACTTTTCCGCATGATTTGAGGCAGCTGGCCTTTACATTGTGGGAAATTTTCATAATGAATTGACCAACAGAAATGCTTCAGTAATGCTTGGACTAAAACCTCTTTACATTAAATTACATTAAAAGTAAAGAATATTTCTGCCCTCTCCTGTGAAGTAAATATGTTGGAGATACTTGTTTTTCTTTGGACACAGACAATATGGAAACAGTATTAATGTATACGCCAGGGCAACCCAAATGATAAGAGCCATTTTGTCCTTTCAGCAGAAATCAAGCCACAACATTTTATGTCCATTTTATTGAAGTAATGTTTTACCATCTTGGCTGTAAATCTGTCTCAATATGTGCTGATGTACTAGCATAGACCAAAAATATAGTATAAACAAAAAAACACAGACTTTGCTCTGCTTTAAGGTTTAGCTCAGCTGTAGCCGTTTTTGTCGCGTCTCCGACAGGAAACTTTTCCTCAAAGTAGAACAGTTTCTTGTAAAATGTCTCTCAACGTTGGACTTTTTACGAGGCTGAAGTCGCTTCTCATTCACCAGCTTCTTGTTCGGATTTTCTCGTTCTACCTTAAATGGTGCCTGAGGTGCCAGAATGTAACTGCTGCAGCATTTAAGGTGAAACGGGAGAATTCAAACAAGAAGCTGCCGAACAAGAATCCGAGTTTTTAGTGTTCGATAGTTTCTTATTGCAGATTAAACATCAGGAAACCAGCTGGAGAGATTATAAATGCAAATAACTCCATTTGTCTCCAAATTATCGATGTTTGTCTTAAATCTTTCTCTTTGCCTTTTCGTTAGCTACTAGCTAGGCGAGATTGTTAGTTGCGTTCCTATGGTGACCAGCAGTCTGTGCGCCAATCTTCAGGGTTGAAGGTTGGTGAATAAGCAGTTATACATTAACTAAACTGTTAAAACCGTGTTGAACAATCAGCAGAGCTTTATTTAGCTGCAAAGGACGATTATTTTATTTGTACCTAAAAATCTGATTCTGCTGTGGAGCCGCAACAGGGCAGTAAAAGAGCCGCATGCAGCTCTGGAACTGCATGTTGCCAATTCCTGGACTAGGGTTTACATTGAATAGTCGACTAGTCCACTAGTGGGCACTGCGGGCAGCAGTTGAGGACAGTGCCTGACATGCAGCGATGGTAAAAAGTGCAATGAACAGACATCAGTTTTTCTGCTAAACACAAAGAACGTTATTAGTGTGGCTGTGAGATTGAACCAATTCCACCACAAGCTGTGTGCGACTGTGCTGACATAGAGCAGACAGTGTAGGTTTTGAGAGGGAAAATGAAACTTTAAAAACAAAACAAATTAAAATATGATCCCTTTGAGTTGAGTCTGGCTAAAAAACACAACTCTGGAAGAGACAAAGAAGCCAGAGGTAGAGATTGGGAAACACTGTTAGCGCAGGTGAAAACAACACACACAGTGTGAGGGATGGAGAACCACTACATTAGGGGATCCTCTCTGAGCATGACTTCTTGCACGACTCCATTGTGGTTTCATTCTGTGTGTTTGTTTTGCATGTTTTTATTTTCCTGTCACCTAGACCAAACTGTTTCCTTTGTTTCCAGGGAAAACGACAGCCGTGCCAAGAATTCCCAAACCAGCTTCTCCTTCCAAATCTGCAAACTCACCCTCTACCCAGCAGAGTTCATCAGTAGGAGAAACCTTCAATCTCTCTCCGCCCACTTTCTTCCCCTCCAGGGACCTACTCCATCGCCGGCACCCCATCATCCCCCGCACGGTCCGCCTGCCCCCAGGCGTACTGACCCACCCGGCCGTCCAGTCGCTGCCGCCCCGCAAAGCCCAGTCCATGACGCTTGTGCAGAGACGGCAGCAGCCTGGGCGCCGCAAAGACAGCATCCAGTCGCTTTTTATAGCACCCGGGACTGAGCTCCACTTCACTCCTGACTCAGACTCCGCTTCCTCCAGCACACAGGACCTCCTAAAATCACCCAGACGCTTCTCAGACCCAGATATCGCTTTAAGCGAAGAAGGACTTTGATTAACAGGTGCTGAGCCCCTCTGTCCAAAGCAGGGGTTTCAAACTCTGGTTGTTTTTGGTGCTCTGTTGCACCTATTAAACTTGGTAAATCAGGTTTATTTGATTTGGTTTAACTTGGTAAATAAGTTAAATCAGGTTAGTTTGAGCAGGGAAATCACCAAACTGTGCTGGACCCCAGACCTCCAGGACCAGAGTTCGATCCCCTGCTATAAAGGGCCATGGCACACTGACCCAACCCACTGTCTGAGCTGTGCTCTGCCTACAAATGTGTTCTTTTATAGCTACTGTTGCCAGGTTGAACAAGCTTGGACCTAATGAGAAACTGTAGAACAGACTCAGTTTATTTCACAATACCTACATTTAGAGACAGTTATTCATTCAGGCTAATGAGAAACTGTAGAACAGACTCAGTTTATATCACAATACCTACATTTAGAGTCGGTTATGCATTCAGCCTAATGAGAAAATGTAGAACAGACTCAGTATATATCACAATACCTACATTTAGAGTCGGTTATTCATTCAGCCTAATGAGAAACTGTAGAACAGACTCAGTTTATATCACAATACCTACATTTAGAGTCAGTTATTCATTCAGCCTAATGAGAAACTGTAGAACAGACTCAGTTTATATCACAATACCTACATTTAGAGTCAGTTATTCATTCAGCCTAATGAGAAACTGTAGAACAGACTCAGTTTATATCACAATACCTACATTTAGAGTCAGTTATTCATTCAGCCTAATGAGAAACTGTAGAACAGACTCAGTTTATATCACAATACCTACATTTAGAGTCAGTTATTCATTCAGCCTAAAGAGAAACTGTAGAACAGACTCCTATAGAGTGTCATTAATTAATTTCAGTTGACATCAACTTTAAAAATTCTCTACTTCTCTTTATATTTCTCTCACTGAGTAGATCGGCTTTATTGATATAGCTCAAGGCAACATCTCTTGCTTTTTGGCTGTCCATTCAAACACGTGCCAAGTATGAAAAGGAAAATGTTCCATATCTCTTACAGTAACTTCCAACAACTTCAGCCCTCCTACAGTAGTTAACATTGTCTTCAGTAAAGACAGTGGCGATATATACAGCTATGAAAACTCAAAGGATGGCAAAAAATATAACACCAAAACACTTAGACGTTCTCACTATACATAATATGCATCACAATATTTAGTTTTTCTGAAGTTTGAACAGCTGGAATAGAGAGAGAAGAAACATTAGTGCCACATTTTGAAAAATAGTATCAAAATATAGTAATAAAATGACTTTTCAGCCTTTCACACTCTAAATCTCGTTAACCAGGGCTAATTTTGCACTCAGTTATCATGAAACATGCAGTTGGTGGCAAAATAATTGTTTTGAACAAATAATCACACTTTACATTTGCATATTTTGATCAACTGTGCTACAGTTTCTCATTATGTTGAACAGAGTTCTCTAAAGCTTGTCCAACCTAGCAACAGTAGCTATGAAAGTCAGTATTTGTGGGCGGAGCATTGTTTGGCAGGTCAGTTTCCCAACAAACTCTGTTCTAACATTGAGAGCTGGCTTCATACTGTTCTACCCAGAGTCAATAGAGAGAAGATGATTAACACTCAAAAGGTTTGGATTTGTTGCCATATATTGGGTCAGTGTGCACTAAGCTTAATGAGGACGTGAGGCATTGTGGGATTCCTCTCATAAAAACTGCTCTCGAACTCTTTCCGGTTGAGGATGATTGTCTCACCAAGCACTTTTTTCTGTAACTATATTAATATGTGGGATTTTTTTAATATGTGGCAGAATTTGTACTGCGGCCACACAGGCAATATCTCGAACCTGTGTTTTTATGCTTCATTTGTTTTTTTTTATTGTACATGAAAAGTAGCAGGATGTTGCACCTTTCCATCTTTTTCATGGACATCTTTTAAAAGAAAGGACGTAACGGATCGACTGGCCTGAGCACGCGTGCCTTCAGCATACTAATGTTTGTACTGTAGGAACCGCTTTACCGTTTCCAGCGAATGGAGACGAACTACGAGGGCACGGACGTTTGGAAATCGCTCGATAGACGGAACACTTACATCCCAAAGTGGCCATTTACTTGCTGCGAAGGAGATTGTGGACTTCTTGGCCCCTCTGGGTTTCTTTGTTTAATGTCTAATGAACCATTTTTAGCTTAGCGGAGAGCAAAAACAGCACAAGCCACTTTTCTCTCTGATGAGATGAAACGTTTGCCATACAGTCTTGGATATTTTAACCTAGCATTCTCTTCCTCTCTGATCTACCTAGACCTCCTCCAGCTTCTTTTCCTCCTTTAGTCAGCAGCGCTGTGGGTCCGTGAGAATGTCTGAGGAGAGTTGTGTAGGGCGGCTGCCGTACGGTGGCCAAAGCCACTCGTGTTTACTAATGTCACATGTTAAACCTGCTGGTGTTTGTAGTCCTGTTATGATGGTGTGACTGGTTGAGGATGAATGATGTTAATTATTATGTTTTACAGGACTAGGACCGTTCTTCATGCTTGCTTTTTTGCTTATGTTTCATATTCTTGAGTTACAGATAATTCTGCTTTGCATTTAATGGACAGATTGGACTAATTATTTTCTTACAATACAATTTGTACTTGCTGCAGACGAGTGTGGCTGTGTTTTTTTTTTTTTTTCTTCCATATTACACTACAGCAGTGTGGATCACTCACCATAAGGAACAACCTCAAGTGTATATATATCATCAATATCTCATGATATAGCACTGCCTTAAATGAGCTATTGCATATTGCCATTATACAGAGCTTTCATTATTGATATTTGTTAGTATCTAGTGTGTTTACATGCACTTAAAAATCTGATAACCGCAGAAAATCCGATTTTGTCAGTAATCCAATCAATGTGTTTCCATGCAGTTGAGTAATCAGATAATGGGGAAACTCCAGGTCTACATGAGTCAGGCAGCAATCAGATTTCTGCTTTGCAACCAGCCAGTAAACTCACAGAAGACGTGACATAAACATTGCGCCACTTTACCTGAAACTATGAACATGCGTCATCTAGAAGATCAATATTTAAATTCATTTTGGCAAAACTTAAAAGTTTTTCAATTTTAAATATGTTTGTGCTGGAGAGGTGCATGCAGGTTGTTGTGTCCCCAAAGATTTATCACAATTTTACCATCATCAACATTACATATAAAAAGTATGACAAATATGACTGTTTACATCTCAACCACTTAATTATGCTGAGATTTTGAACCGAACAGTTGATTTAACTTACATGTCACCTAGTTTCACCTCTAATAGTGATTACAAAATCCAAGACCAGAAACTCGACTCAAGGTCTGGATTTGAAGGTCTTAAAGGGGAATTCCCCCAATTTTTCATGATTTCTGAATTATTCAGTACTTGAGATGTAAACAGTCATTCAGAGTGGTTTGATGTGAGATTGTAGAGGAACGTAGAGACTCTGATTTCTTTACAGTGGTGGTGATAGGAACCAGGGGTCGCCATGACTACAACACAAATATAGACATTTTATTTACTATCCAAAACCACCAGTGAACCTACACGAGTTTTACATGTAATGTTGATGATGGAATAATAGTACTTTGCCTTACAACGCCATTCATGTACCCCTTCAGCATGAAGGGATTAAAATCAATGGACTAAAATTCATTTTAAGCTAAAAAACTATCATAAAACAGTGTCTCAGTCATCAGGCAGTGAATTCATAACCATTTCATATAGAAACTTTCTGAAAGGGAGCTTTTAGAGGTGGAAGTCTGGTTCCTATCACCACCACTGTGAACAACTCTGACTCAGTAAGTTTCCCTAGAACAGCATTTCACACCAAACCACTCTGAACGACTCTGTTTACATCTCAATTGGTTATATTTTGAAAAATTGGTGGTGTTCCCCTTTAAATTTACTCCAAGTGTACTGAGGTACGTCATGCTTGTAACTGATGATCTAGAGGCACTGGAAAGCAGAAATCTAATAACAATATTTGATTTATTAACAATGAATGATAATTTAGGCCTTCAGTCACTGGTGTTACTGATCCTCATTGGTGTTACACATAATAAAGGAACACCAGAGACATTTTAATGAACAATGCATTTTACAAAATGTAGGATACAGAGCATCAAACCACATGTTGTCAATCATGGAATATCCACTAAAATATGGAATTTAATCCATTTGTATTACATTTTTTCACAATTACCTCAGAATAAAGTCGGTCACACCAGTGACTTCAGCTAAAAGCTTCATATGAAATCATGAGCTAAATGAGAAAATCTCTGATAACTGAAAGACACAGTGGACTCACCATGAGCTTTTCTTCATAGATCCTCAGAAAACAGGTAAAAGGAAGTCAAGTGATGTCATCAGTGTGACTTTTATTTCAAAATAAGAGATTTTTTGTTACGCAGTAACACCAGTGACACGACTCCTGGGGACAACTTTCATTATATATTTTATAATATTTATTTGCCATTTGTTTTCTTTATGTCATTTAAACCATATATTTCATAGTCATGTATAGATTATTGTAGTTAAAATAGCAGAAAAATGTGTTTTTTTTTTCTTCAAAATATGGCCTCAGCCTTCACACATGACTGTGAGGACGAGCTCTTCTGTGGTGCTTGGAATTCTAAATGACTGTTTTAAAAAACAGTATTGCTAAATTGAGGCTCAAGAAGGTGTAACTGTTAAAATAACTTAGTTTTATTTTAAAATGTAAATAATTTGTAACCCTAAAGTTTTTTGAGTGTAATATATCTGTAAATGCTAGGGACACAAAAATGGACGTTTCTGTAGAATGACCTATTTGTGATCAGTGAGAAAAATAGTTCCATTTAACAGTCTATATGGTCTGTCTGTTGCTAGGTTACAGGTGAATAAGGTGCAGTGATGATTTATGTGCTCATTATTTAGATATGGGGTCTCAGTGCCAGTGCTGGGGGATGTTGGCTGAGTCTGAAAGGTAATGAATGCTGCCTAATCAGTGTTCTGAGGCGAGCAGGTGGACAGAACAGGACCGACTCACATGGTTAAACGCTGCCTGCTGAGGTGCTGAGTGACCAGCACGGAACCTGATACTGGTCTAATCTGTTTTTTCAGTAGGGTAGGTAGCCTACACTCTTAAAGACGGTTCCTCAAGGGTCTTTTAGTAAAGACAATGGTTCTATATAGAACCACGAACACTCAAAGAACCATCTGCATGCTTAAATGGTTCTCCTCATGGTGAAATGGTTCTTCAGATTGATGGAGAATGTGTTGTATATGGTTCTGCTACTGTTACAATGTCAAGCTTGTATACAATAGAAGAACACTTTTCAAAAAGGTTCTATATAGAACCATATACAGCACGTTCCCCATCAATCTGAAGAACCTTCTCATCATGCAAAGAACCTTTGAAGCATGTTCATGGTTCAATGTTTGATGTACCATCTTTTGTAGGCAGTGACACTTCAGTGCTTCTTCAACATGGTTATAAAATGTTCAGTGTTTTACACTCTTAAAAAGATGGTTCTTCAAGGGTTCTTTGGTAAAGAAAATGGTTCTGTATAAAACCATGAACACTCAAAGAACCCTTTGCATAATTAAAGGGTTCTTTGCATTCTGAAAGGGTTTTTTAGACTGATAGAGAACGCACTATCAGTGGTTCTCTATAGAACCTTTTTTGAAAAGGCCTCTATATAGCACCAAAAAAGGTTCTGCTATTATGATGGTCAAGCTTGTAACAATATAAGAACCCTTTTCAAAAAGATACAACACATCAATCTGAAGATGAGGTAAAGAACCCTTTAAGCATGCAAAAGGTTCTTCTAATGTTTATGGTTCTACATAGAACCATTTTCTTTACTAAAGAACCCTGGAAGAACCATCTTTTTAAGTGTGTAGCGTTCTTAAAGGACATTTTTTCTGGTTAAAAGATGCTCTTGGCTAAACTCTAAAGCTGGCAGTGAGCTGTAAGCAGTCTGGTACCGGTTCAGTTGCAGGTACCTTCACCCCGGCGCTACCTTCTAACGCACTCACTTTAGAGATGGCTGAGGCAGCCAAGGCACTGAGGCAGCTGCCTTCAGCTTCATATTACCCATTGGCTCTCAGCCAATCACCCTGCGATGTCAGAACTGAGATGCAGCTGAGCATCACAAATGTGTTCTCTCCTAGCTACTGTTGCTAGGTCGGTCAAGCTTTACAGAATCCTGGCAAAGAAATAATTCAATCTAATGAGAAACTGGAGCTGAGTTTGCTGAAATATCTTAATTTAGTGAGTTTTAGTGACGGTTGTGCGGTGGGTAGTGCTGTTGCCTCACAGCAAGGAGGGCCTGGGTTCGAATCCCCGGCTGGATGACCAGCATGTTCTTTCTCTATCTGTGTGGGCTTCCTCCCACAGTCCCAAGGCATGCATTCGGACTAATTGGAGATGCTCAACTGCCCCTAGGGGTGTGAGTGCGTGTGTGTATATATGTCTGTCTGACCTGTGATGGACTGGCTTCTGCCCAATGACTGCTGGGATAGGGATACCCCCAGCGACCCAGAAGGATGGTGGAAGGTCATAAACAAGCTAGAACACAAGTTAGCAAAATTCAGAGTAACCTGCTTAGTTTCTCTTAGCTATAAAAGTGGGTGAAAAATCGCTACAGTGCAATATTTTGGGTGTAAAAATAGTATTGATGCACGGAGGAACCAGTGTTAATATTTTGTTACTCAATTTTGAATATGTCAACATGTATTTAATCCCATTCTTAGACATAGAGATCACTGAAATGCATTTCTGTCTTGATCCACCAGATGGCGCCGTTTCCAAATCTTCTGTTTAATTTTGTTTGATTTAATTTCCAGGGACATTAATGCTCATTAATAAACATTTCTGTAAATGTGCCAGTTTGGCTCATTTTAGCTGTAGCCCCTGGAGAGGTAGACAAGAAAAAAAATAATAATAAAAAAAAAAATACATAAATCCTTGATGATACATATAACAAGACGTCATTTCAGAAGCGACGTCTGTCAGTGGTGTTATAGTGATGTTTCTGACTGTTCCTAACAACAATATACTAATAAGACTCCTAACATCACATTCACTTGCCCCTGCAAATTGTCGTGAATAAAGAATTTGTTAAATATGTAAGAATAAAGAGTGTTGAATATTGTTTATCTACTTTGCAAATAAAAGCTTCTGCTAAATTTGTAAGGAAAAAAAAGTTTTGCTGCAATGATAAATTAGACTGAAGTGAGATGAACAAAGTGTAAACTGTGAAAGTTTTGTTTAGGCCACAGTTTGTGCTGTATGTTTTCAGGTGTACTGTGGGGCTAACTTTCCAGTGCCTTTAGGGCTGATGGGTTGTGAGACAATAATAATAATAATAATAATAATAATAATAATAATAATAATAATAATGACTTTTACACTCAAATAGTGCACTATATGTCTAAAAGGGAGCCATTTAGAATTCAGTCTAGGATCATTTCTGCATTGAGACCTGAGAAAGTGTCTGAATCTCCTGCCCGAGTCTGACGCTCATGTGGAGCCTATTCGTCCCAGTGTATCAAAAGATTACTGCAAAACATAATACAGGCACAAGAAGGCTAGAGCGGGAGAGAAGAGTCCAAAATGAATGGAAGTAAATAGAACTAAATGAATAAAATCATTTAATATATTTTTTTGTCAATAATACAGCCACTTGCTTTTATTTGTGGAAAATGCAAGAGTGAACTGTATCAAAATATTGAACAGATAAGCTAGATTTATCCCCTCAAAAATGGGTCTCTATAATCTTATTTTTAATAATAATAATAATAATAATAATAATAATTTCATTATTAGTATTAAGTAGTAGTAGAAATATCATAAACATTAATGGTTATGATTATTAAATAAACTGCTTTGTAATAATTGTTATTTTCATCACAGTAAAGTAAGTTATTGTGATTATTACTTCGTCATACAGACCCTAATTTTGAAAAAAAGCACTGCGAGGCGGCGCGCGCAGGCGCTGCCGTGCAACACCGAGGATAAACCAAGCGTGTTTACTGTTAAATGACGTTTAATTTAATATTTATTGTCGTATAAACGTTTAGCTTCATTAATCTGCACGTAAGCTGTCGCCGCTAAAGTCGCTCCGCCGTCGAGTTCAGACTCTTATTTTGTTATTTTGTCCACGTCACTCCTCAGTCCGCCAGCTTGTGTCATGGCGGCGTCCAGGCTGGAGATCAACTTTGTGCGGCTGCTGGCGGAGAGTGAGAGCAGAGCGGGAGAGAACAGAGAGAGGGGCAGAGAGAGGGAGGAATGGAGACTGGAACAGGTACGGAGAGAGAGAGAAGAGGAGGCTTATTCGAATTTTCCGGTCCGCCTTAAATGGTGCAGCAGCTACGGTTTAACGCCTGCAGGCGACGGACTGGAATAGCTGCTCCAGTTAAGGTGGAACGGAAAATTCGGGAAAAAAGCGGTTTTAAAGCTTCGTAATAATTTAAGGGAGAAAGTTAGATGATCTGGTTTGTCAACCGGACTAGAACTGGTAGAGGAAGAGAGAAAAGACAGAGAGAGAGAGAGAGAGAGAGAGATAAGAGGGGAGGAGTAGGTACAGAGGGAGTGGAGGTGGGTGATGTGGCAAAAATATTATATCTCGATGCTTCAAGACATTTTCACGGTATTAGGTATCACGATATTTAGTTTTTTTGAGATTTAATAAAACAGAACCTGCAGTGCTACATATAGGAAATGCTATAACAACGATAGTGACAATAATAATAATAATAATAATTCTACAACTGCACTAATTTTTATTCAATATTTTACAAACTGCACTGCACTAAATCCAGTTAAACAGGCTTAATTATGCTCTTTTTGTAATGAAACATGCAGTTGTTTTTTTTCAAGTACTGACGATATCCACGATATGCTCAGAAAAGACTGTTGTGACATAATTTATCATGATAGCAATAAAATATTGTCATATTGCCCACCCCTCAGAGGGAGAGAGGACAGAATGTAATGTAATGTAATAGAGTAGCTCTTGTGCCTTGAATTGTCTGTCACCTGTATTTCTGTCTTGCCTGCTGTGTTTAAAGGGTCCGTATCCTACACGGTTGGCTGAAAGCAGATGTATGTAAATGTATTCTTGTGACATCACAAAAACATTTAATTCAAAACTGCCTGTTGGTGCATGTTTGTTTCCATATATGGGCTGTATGAACCTGCATACTACATCAAACTCTTTTAGTCTGAAAAACATAAGGAAACTCTGGCGGTTTGGTGTGATACAGGCCCTTTAATGTTTTTTAGCTCTTATAAGCAGTAGTAGTGTTTATGTATGTGTAGCTGGGCTGCTGCAGGGTTGCCAGGTGAGTATAGACTTTATTCTGAGATTTCTTCACCCAGCTTTACCTGAACACGTCTCAAGACATTAAATGGTCTTATTTTCGTTTTTGCCCCAGTTAAATTGAGTCGTGATCAGGTAACTCACACAGCTAATCTGATGAGATTTCCTAGACTGACCACCTGATCTTAACATTTCACAATGTCTGACCCAGTAAGAAGACTGGAGCTCTTATAGTTGGAAAGCCAACCAGTGTATTTTAACTGCATAGCAACAAGTGGTTGATTGGATTATAGTCCACTATACCATTTTTATATTTTATTATAAATATATATTTTTAGCCTTTGCTTGATTTTTTTCCTCCCTTGTTTCTTCTTAATAATACATACATAATGCTGAATAAAGGAAAGATATGGCCTTTTTAAACATGGCTCTGCTGGTTTGCTGGTGTATTTTTTGTCTGTTTAACTTGTTCACACAAGAAATATGATTAATGATGTACCATGAAATGTGTTCAAGACCACCTTTGCTGTGTGGAGCATCAGTGGGTTATGATTACAAATATTTTGTTTTTTTCTTCCAGTACGTTGCTGCCCTGGAGGAGATGCTGGTGGCTCTGAGGAAGAGTCCGAGGTAAGGCCGAATTACAGGTCAAATGCCAGAATTAGGGATGCACCAGTATGGGAGTTCTGGATCCATGCCAGTGTCTGATATCTTTTATGTATGTATCTGCAGACACCTATGCATTTATAAAAAAATTGTCGAATTTTATAAAATTAAATTTTTATTTTTTATAAAATATTATAAACTTTTTCTAAAATGTAAAATTTTAACCATTTTAAACTTTCATCTCTAACCACCTTCACTCCTCAGTCTGAAACGGTTTTATTTTATCGTGGTTAGTTCTTATTTGATTTTGGTATGCTTTATTTTTGTTTATATATGTTCCTTCTGTCGGAAGAAAACCTTGTATCTCATTTTTCGTTTTTCAGTTTTTGACCTAATTTGGAAATACCTGTTGCTCTTTACATTGTGTCAAAATTTCATGATGAATGGACCAAAAGAAACAGCCCAGAAGTGCTTGGGAAAAAGTCTGGTCCCATTGACTTACATTAAAAGTAAAGCAGGTTTTTTCCTTCTCCTGTAAAGTTACCATTTGGGAGATACGAGGTTTTGTTTTTGCAAACCAAATCCAAACAAACCAAAAAAAGACAAAATAAAATGTAAACTACCAAGAATGACCAAATTAATAAATACATATATAATATGTGTGTGTGTGTGTGTGTGTGTGTGTGTGTGTGTGTGTGTGTGTGTGTTACTTCAATGTGTGTTGCTCTTTTCCATCCTTTGTTCTCTGTTCTGATGCTCATCTCAATACATCTCAAATGAGAGTCCTTCTCAATGTACTCAGAATTTAAATCATGTTTATTGATTGATTGATTGGAAATTTAGAAATTGACACTAGATCCATCTGGATTATCATTACAGAGAGATAAATATTTCTTTGGGGTTACAAATGCAGTAAAATCAATGAAATGCTGATATTTTAGTGCAGTAAACCAGCGTCGCCTAGACATTCCGCTCATTCCAGAGTTTAATAAGTACATCATCAAAAATCTCCAGATAGTGATCAGATTCCAGTATCGTTGTGCATCCCGATCCAGAAAACTCCACTCTATCTGTTTCACTCTCGCCTGTGCAGCCTGTTCAGATCAAGATCATAACTATTGCATTTGTTTGTTTGTCCTTCCAGCAAACCGTCTCCAGAGCTGCTGACCGACTACACCCGAAAAGTGGACTTCCTCAAAGGCCTGATAGAGGCGGAGAAACTGGTCAGTTTATAGATTATATATCAGATCATCACCGTCGTAAAAAAAGATCGTATCTCCAAAACTACGGCTTTGCAGGGGAAGGAGTAACATTTCTTAACTTTGATGCAGATTAACATTGTAAGATTTTATTCTGAGTAATTTAGGACTCATTGACAGCAGTAGTGCAAAAATGCTACTTCACAATACTTTAAGAAGTTTTCACGATACACGATATGTCATATTATGTATTATTTCTGACATTTGATAAGTTGGGAAGGATAAAATAGTGTCAGATGTAGAAAGTAGCATTAAAACTATGAATTTAGTTATTTGTATTCCACATTTCACACACTGTACTGCACTGTATTTCCATTAAACAGGCTGATTTTGTTCTCTTTGTAGTCAAACATATAATTGAGAAGTGTTTTTAAGTACTGATGATAATGATGATCTGTCATATACTCAGAAAAGCACATTGTGACATAATTGATCATGATATTGATAAGTATTGTCATATTATCCAGTCCTAGTAATAATAATGTAGATACACTGTCAGAAATAAAGGTTCTGTTCAGGTACATTTTTTGTTCATCAAGGTACAAACAGTGTAAAAGTTCCCTCAAAGCTCCAACAGTGGTTTTAAGGTCTGATTGTGAACCTTAAATAAGTTTTTCCAGGTGAAAAGTTTGTATTTGTACCTTTTCATAACCGAATGTTTTAAACAGAACAGTAAAATAAAAGCCTGGAGACGAGACGGGGTGTGTGGAGTCAGTACAGCTTAGAACATATCATTTCAGTGGATTATGGTTCAGTTATGTTCCCTGACTAAAGGTACTGAGATGGTTCCACCCCAGTGACAAGAGGGGCACTGACTGTTTAGTACCTTTATTTCTGAGACTGTAGTATAATGTATGATAGATATGCTGTGTATGTATACAGTGTATGTTATACTGTAGTGCATATATCTATAAAATGCATAATATTCTATACAATACTATTATACTGTTTACACATTTTGTTACATTATATTGTAAATATTGTCCTAGAAATACATAGTATTTAAGTTAAGTAATCTACAAATATGTTATGTTTTCTCTCTTGCCCCTCTTTAGTCGTCCCCGACAGAGAAAGCTTTAGCCAATCAGTTTCTGGCTCCTGGCCGGACGCCTACGATCTCCACTGAGCGGATGCCGGCCTCGAAGACGGTCCACATGCAGAGTAAAGCGCGGTGTACGGTGGAGATGCGCTCGAACCTGCTGGGCTCAGTAAGGCTCTTCTCTCCGCTCTGTGTCAGCAGTGATGAGTGTCGCTCACAGTGATCAGTCTGAGTCTGTCCTGCTCTGACGCTGTTCATTAAAACATCTCTGATCTGTCTCTAATCGCTCTGTTGATGTTGTTTCCTCCTGACAGGCTGCAGCAAGCGCTGGTATGTTTATATATATATATATATATATATATATATATATATATATATATATATATATATATATATATATATACTTGTATAATATAAAAGAATTAAAAATATATCAAATAATATTGGTATTTGACACTGAAGTATTGTTATTAATGTGTAATGTTTGATTTCAGGTTTATCTGAGACGGAACTCAGACACAGAAGGTAAGACTACTGTAATGTCTCTCTCTCTCTCTCTCTCTCTCTCTCTCTCTCTCTCTCTCTCTCTCTCTCTCTCTCTCTCTCTCTCTCTCTCTCCCTCTCCCTGTCTTTCTGTTTCTCTCTATATCTCTTTCTCTATTTGTGTTTCTCTTTTTGCTCTCTCACATTCTCTTTTTCTGCCTGTCACTGCCTTCTCTTTCTCTCTCTGTCTCTCTGTCTGTCTGTCTCTCTCTTTATTTATTTATTTATTTATTTTTTCTTTCTCTCTCGCTTTCTTTTTTCTATCTCTTACTTTTTTTTTGTCTTCTTCTCCTTCTTTTTTTCACACTCTTTTTTCTCTATATCTTTATCTTTTTCTTGCTCTTTCACTGTCTTTCTCACGCTCTCTCTCTTTCTTTCATCTCTCTCTCTGTTTCTCTCTCTCTTTTCTATATTTCTGTTTCTCTCTCTCTCTCTCTCGCTCATCTATGATTCTAAATAGATCTTTATGTATTGAATAAAACATCATCTTTTAGTTTTTAACATTTTAAATCTACACTGTGGACAATATTATTATTATTATTATTATTATTTATTATTATTATTATTATTATTATTACATATATAACGCAAAATATGAGCATGACTGCTGATTCCAAACCTTTGAACGTTAGTTTGTGTGTGTGTGTTTTCTGTTCGGTGTGTGTGACTCTCCACTGTGCTGTCCCTCTCAGCCGCAGCGTCCCTGTAGACGAGCGTCAGAGCGCGGCGGAGCTGGACGCGGTGCTGCAGCATCACCACAGCCTGCAGGAGAAACTGGCCGAGGACATGCTGAACCTCGCCTGCAACCTCAAAAACAACACGCTCGCCGCCCAGAACATCATCAAACAGGACAACCAGGTCAGCCTCACTGTCACTGTGCGCTCTGTTTTACAGGGGAATTCCACCAACTGTCCAAAATTCCAATATAATTCACATTTATTGAGAAATAAACAAAGTTATACAGAGTGCTGGGGTTTCTCTTCTAATAAGAAGCAGGAGTCATGAATGTACATCGCTAGACCGAAAAGTAAAGTTGGACTGTGTCTTTCAAGTTTGCATATGTCATGTTGCAAATCGCTGTTGGCAGCACAAAACCTCGTATCTCCAAAATGGTAACTTTACAGGAGAAGGAAAAAACCTGCTTCACTTTTAATGGAAGTCAGTGGAACCAGACTTTTTTTCCAAGTAATTTTGGGCTGTTTCTTTTGGTCCATTCATCATGAAATTCAGTCATAATGTGAAGAGCAATAGGCATTTTCAAATTATGACAAAAACTGAAAAACGACAAAAATGGAGGTTTTGTTCCGACAGCAGCAAAATGCTAAAATGCTGGAGGATCTGTTAAAAAAAGTTTTCTGTGTTTAAGCATTTACTTTTTTCCTTACCACACCCTTCAGATGTGTGGTATGGTATTTCACAGAAGAACCAGAGAGTTCTAGAATATACAAATAAATACATTTTAGGCCAAATCCTTATTGTAAAACATGGGAAAACAGTCTGTAACTTACTTTCAGTAAGTTAGCTTTTATATGTAATGTTTATGATGAAAAAATGTACATTTCTCTGGGTTTTAAAAATTTGTTTTAGGTCAAAACATTATTTCAGAGCTATCGTGATACAGTGTCAGACATCAGGCAGCAATAACTTAAATAACTTTCTGTGCGGGAGCTTTTAGAGACATTAAACTCTTCAGACGTCTGGTTCCTATCACCACCACTGTGAACAGTTCTGAGCCTGAGAATGTCTCTAGAGCAAAAATTTGGTATAGTTTTGTTGAAAAATTGGTGGAATTCCTCTTTAAGGGGCGTTAAGAAGCATGAAGCAGAGTAAACACTCACACTTGGCCTCCAGTGGATTATTGCTTTTATGAAACAGCCACAAAGTGCAATATATGAAAATACACCAATGTTGAGTAAATAATATTCATAAATGAAACTAATTTTTGGGTAAACAGTTCTTCCGGCAACCAGTGTAGCTCATTTAGAGTTGATTTGTGAAAAAATAAACACTAAAGATTGTGATTCCCAAGTGCAGATTTCTTCGGGAATCCTTTATTTGAAATCCGACGCACCAGAGATGAATACTTACTTTGACATTTGATATTTGATAATATTTGACAAAGCAAGATTTCTCTGGATAATTTGCGCCAATAGGAGCAGTTTTTACCTCCTCTTACCTCTAAGATAATCAGCTACTGTGAAATCCTGCAGGAGGTTTTCTAGTTCCGCATCCTCACTGTGCCTCCTAAATGCTGAGATCATTAAGCCTGTTTGCAACCATTGATTAATGCCTGTAATGTCAGCCTCTAACCACAAGGTGGCAGCCATGCATTTCTTAAGAGTCTGTAGCTCAGGGGTGTCCAGTCTTATCTGCAAAGGGCTGGTGTGGCTGCGGGTTTTGGAATCCAAACAAGCTGGAGAAGATCTGGGGTGTGTCTCACAAAGCAGGATTTGTGGCTTAGCCAGCTAACTTTGAGCTTAGTTCAGTCTAATGCTGGATCAGGGCTGGCTCTGGTATTTTGGGGGCCAGAACAGGATTTTTTGGGGGCCCCATCTGCCTAGAGCAGTTCTCCAAACCTACACACTGGAAACAGTGCAAACATGAAAGTGAAATGGTTTTTAAAACAACTATTTTAATACAAAACCATCATAATAATACAATGAAAACCAGAAACTAACAAAAACATAATGGTACAACAATAGCCCAAGTGTTGTTAGGGGGTCCCCTAGTGGCCATCGGGGCAACAATGTCGCTTGATGGGTAGAGCCAGCACTGCCCTGGTGTTTTTGTCTCACAACAGTGGATCACTTTTTACCAGGATACATTGTGACGGCAACTTCTACTGCACACCTAACCAGCTCCACAGCAGGTCAAGTTCAGAGTTTAAGATCATAATCAGCTCTTGGATCAATCAGGGCTGAGCTTCTGACCCATTAGGGACTGATGGAGGAAAACCCTCCATTTGTTTATGTATTCATTTATTTTGTTCTGACGTTTGTGCCATAAATCCAGTGAAGAATATCGCTTTTTAGCAGAGAAAGCAAATCATACAACACAGATAATAAGAATATAAAGCAGGTATTACACCGATAAGCACGAACACTAGCAGTGCTGCTTTGTGCTGCTGTAAATGCTTTATTTTCTACGTATTTAAGTAGATTTCTTTTTTTCCTCATGTTTCACATGACTGACTGTTTGTCCTACATGTCATAGTTTCATGTGCGCACAGGAGGATTAATCATTGCCACAGAGAATCTAAACCTGGATTAAAACCGTCTTTGTAAATCGAGTTAACTGCTGCTCCGTTACTAATTGTAATTTTAAAGCTTGTTATTATTGATTATTAGTATACTAGTATACTGATTAATGCAATTTAATTATTTTGACATTTTGTATGTAAAAAAGACAAAACTTGCTAGAACTGAAAATACATTTTTAAATAAGTTTAATTTATTTATTGTAAAATAATATAACTATAGAAACATTATTTGGCCAATAAAAAAAATTTACCTGTTGGTCCATCTTGGCTTTGTTTGGTACTGTAAGAGGGAGCAGTAGGAGAGATTAAAATATGCATCATCGTCAGTCGCTGCTGATTCTGAGGTCAGCTGTAATACATTTAATTTTTTAATTGATCAATCATGACAGCCTCTCTGTAAACTCTAGACCCCTTGTGTCAAACACAAGTCAGCCCGTAACACAGGCCTATTCGGCCCACTAAATGAATTGCCCGTTTTGCTTGGAGATGTACTACAGTTCCCAGCATGCACTGCAACATAGTGTGCATTCTGACCACCCCCCCAACCAAGAACAATCTATGGGCCAGCGGTTACACAAAAACAAAAGACGCCTGGTGTCTAATTCAAGTAATTAGACAGTTTGCTGAGATTTTTTTTAATGTGGCCCTTTTAGTGGTTGAGTTTGTTTCAGTGTTTGTTTTTTCCTCTGTTCTAGACTCTGACTCAGTCCATGAGACAGGCCGACATCAACTTCGAGAAGCTGAAGCTGGAGTCGGAGCGTCTGGAGCAACACGCGAAAAAATCCGTCAACTGGTTTTTCTGGCTGATGCTCATATTAGTCTCCTTCACCTTTATCAGTATGATCCTGTTCATAAGGCTGTTCCCCAGACTCAGATGATACGGCGCGTGAGTGGCGTCCGACTCGAACAGCAGGTTTAGCACATGTGGGCATCAGCGTCCCCGCGGGTGTGGATGCAGACGCCACTAAAGTCAGACTGGTTGAAAGTGGGGCTGCACGATATGGACGAGATGACTTATTGCAGTTATATTGCTACGTATTGCAGTTATGAAGTATCTCATTAGTAAAGCCGTAATGTGGTGGTTAAAGATTAACCTGCATTATTTTGACCAAAATAATTTACTTTTGTTGAATTAAATGGTCATTCACAGCACACAGTAAGAAGCACCATGATTGGTTAGAGGGTTATTTGCATATTGCGGCCTTCTGAAACTATTATAGACCTCTGACCTCTAAAGTTGTGCATCATATGTGCATAAATATATGGATTTCTGGGTTTTCTCTGTGTGAAAAACGAGAGGTGTTTTTGTGGTGAACTAAAATGCCCCAAAGCTGATACTTTCTGTCCGGAGTGTCACTGGATCCTTTGAGGATCTTCATGAGGACGTTTAGCAGTCAAGACAGGAATAATGCTACATACATGCCACAAGCAAGCTAACACTCCTGCGCACTGAAGCGACGTTGAATGAAAGTCTACTATTAAAATGCGAGGCTGTTCTATATCAACACCAGCTACTCAAACTGCAGCCTAAAACCACCAAAGCCTCTAAACTGCTACATTCGACAAAGCCTGCTAGTTTGTGTGGGGTAGTTTGGTTTTCCCTAATAGCAAGAGGATAGTGGGCCACTGTCGGCCCGCTGATGGCAAAGCTGGCGGTCCACTGGCGCTTTGTTCAGCGTTTTCCAAGCGGCCCACTGGTAATAAATTAGAGTATTAGACAAAATTCCAAGTATTATTGCTCATTTTCCACTCACAGTCCAAATTACTTATTTTTCCTATACTTTGTAAATTAGTTTAGTAAATCATTTTAATCTAGCGCAGTGTCAGCAACAATTTCAACGAAATAATTTTATATCAGGCCTAGTCATTATTTTCTTTAATTTTTTTATTTTTTTTATTTTATTTCATTTTTTCCAGGGGAGACATTCAAAATCATGCAATGACAACATACAATTCCATGCACATGTTAATTTCCAATTATATATCCTTTCATACCTCTGTCTTTTTTATTCTTTAAAAATTACTTTTTTTCCTCTCTTTTTGACATTCTATAAAAAATCAAATAACTATATACATTAAAACCTGAGAAATTAAATAACATAAAATACCTGTCAGAAAAAAAGGGGAGTACTCCCTCACATTGTATCTCTACAAACTCTGGTCTTACTGTCTTAGTTTATTTTCTAAAATAAAAGTCTCTGTGCATTTAAAGCCTGTTTGAGGAGATTAAAAACTTGTTAGATCTTGTACGCAGGACAATCTGGGTGGTCCGAGGGGGACCAGCAGTGCAAACAGTCATTGGGGTGCTGACCTTATCAAGCCAGCAGACCGATGTATGGTTGTTATCCGGGATTTTGGTGAAGTTATAATGTTATTTCAGCGTGCAGCAGTGTTAGCCTGCGTGCAGCAATAGTTGTATTTCGGCTCCTTAATGATCTCCTATTTCTGAGTATCCGGCCAAGTTCGGAGGAAAATTAGCCGTATGGCAAAACGTATCGGCTTTGGAGCATTTTAGTTGACCGGCTTGGAACCAGAGTTCCTAAAATGATGACTTTGACTGCAGAAAGATGACACGACTTTAAAAGTCTACTGCAAACTGCTGTAACAAAACCTTGTATTCCTTAAAAGGCGACTTTATCATCTGTATTGGTCCAATTCACCGTAAAATGATGCAATGTAAACAGGAGACCTTGATATGACAGTGGAAGGTGCAGCCCTGGTTGTGTTGACTGGGGAGAGTATTCTATACGGTCTTTATAGTTTTGACTCATAGCCTTAATCTCTCACAATGTTTCACTAATACGTCACTGTACAACAACTGCAAAGACTGCAGGTCTGGGAATTACTGTAATCAATAACGCTAATCCAGTTCCTTCATCTTCATCTGTCAGTTCATCAACTCTCGCTTCATAAACACACTTAAAACATTGTCGTTTATGTCTTTGTGTCCTCTTATAAGTTCCGTCTTCAGACTTTTATTCATTGCAGTGTTTCACAGCTGTAAATAGGAGGAATTGGTTCAGTCAACAATGCTAATGCTGCTAGCAAAGGCTCATCAGACCTGTCAGAGTAAGAGCAGTGAGCTAAGATCAGATCTTATATGTCCATAAAGTCTCATTCAGTACAGTATTAAAGGCACAGACTGACCCTAGCTCAGCCTCCTTATTCAGGATTTTGGCAAATGTTGGCCAGAATGCAAGCGAAGAGTCGCTAATTAGCATTAAACTGTTAACTAGTGGCGAATGGCTTATGTTCATTGTTAGCAACATTAGCACGTATAATTGAACTGGTCCTTTAAGTTGCTTTAAAAACACACTTATTTACTTTTTTGCTCATTTGTCGTCTCAAGTGTTTCACTGTAAATGTTTCCTAGCTGTAAATTAAAGAAATGGTTTGGTCAACAATGCTAACGTTGCTAACAGTGACCCGCATTTATCAATCCTGTTGAAGTAAGAATACTAAGATAAAGAAGAAGAAGAAAAAAAACTCCTGTTCAGTGCTGAAAGTGAAATTTTAAACTTTACACTTTAAAGCATTAACCCACACACACACACACACCCCCACACACACACATACACACACACACCCCACCCCCAATAATAGACAGCCTAGACAGGAGACCATTTTATGATACAGAAAAGCCTTAATCAGTATTTCAGTACAGACTTGGCTTCTTAATTAACATTTTATTGTTGCAAAGCTTAGTCATGCATGTAATCAAATAAAAAAGAAATGAAAATCATAGTTTAAATTGAGTAAAAACTGAATTGAAGTGAAGAAATCTATTTCTACGTGTTTCACCACAAACATGATTCCCTAAAGATGATGTTTGATAATGACGTTTGTAAGTCTGACAAACCTTTTAAAGGATTGTATGATGTCAGATTTCTTCATAGAAATTTACTTGATGTAGACGTTCTTTAACCCTTGAGTGGTGTTGATGTGTTTGTTACTCAGTGGTCTGGTGACCCACCACATTACTGTTTATTTTAAATCAATACAGCCATAACAGTTTATATAAAAATACCAGATGTTTAAAATATCACAAGTGTCCAGTGTAGGGTTCTCCTTTAGCAGCTGTAGCCAGTCAGCAGCCTGTCCATGTTGTCCACTCTCACACACACATATACAAACACACACACACACAGACACACACTAACAGCAGGCCATGTAGGAGGTGAACAGAGTGAAGGACACAGCGCCTCCACACTTTTACTCCCCGTGGGTTCACCCAACACCACATGTGTAATATAAATGTGTGGGGGGTGAACAGAGTGAAGACACTGAAAATGGGTTATTTTATATGTTCTTCACAGAAAATGAGCAAAGACCAAGAATCTGAGGTTGAAATAATAATAAATCACATCATTTTTTCTTTTGGTAAACATTGAAAACAGGTTCCACAGACCTGAACACCACACAAGGGTTAAACTTCTCATGCTCTCACATCTCACTTCTAAGGAACCATCCATTGAAAGGTTTTTAAGGACACTCAAAGTGGTTCTTCTATGGCATTGTGTACAGAACCTTTTATGGCACCTTTATTTCTAAGAGTTTAGGAGTTTTTTCATCTACTGACTCAGGAGCAAAAGCCAATATCCAACCTAATGTGTCACAAGACGTGTCTGCGTTTGTCAAATGAGATGATCATCATATTTGGTCTTTAAAACTAGTAAATCGAACACGTTTTCTATATTCTAAAGCCCTGAATCTATAATTAAATAATCTATATTAAAGCCCTGAATAGGCTTGTTGCAGTTGCTGGTGCTGAAAATACCCTGAAGGTCCGCTCTCTATAGTCTTAAAAATAACACACACTTGGACATCGCATTTACAAAATTACAAAATGTGTTCTTTATAGAACCCCCCATTGAAAGGTCCGCTAGGGAACCAAATGTGGTTCTTCTGTGGCATCGCTCCAAAGAACCCTTTTTGGCACCTTTATTTTTAAGCATGGAAGGTCCAGGCAGGCTTGTCTGGACTTGCTGCTGGCCAGCTGGAGGTCAGCATTCAGATACGCAGCAGGAAGTATTTTTGATCCTCTGAGCTCGCGGCTCAGAGAAGGTCGACAGGAACCCAGCAGCTCCAACCTGAGAGAACCGTACCTGCGTTTAGCTCCTCAAACGCTATCAGGCTGTAGAATCCTGCAGACAGCAAAACCCCCGAGTCCATGAACTGGACAGTCTCACACAGGATTGGGATATTTATATGAAGTGCCGCACAAATCTGATGAACCTGCATGTTCCTGTCATTTTATGGGCCCATATAAGATCCATGTGTATAGAAATGTATGGAAATGTGATGTATGGCAATATAAGGATTTTAAAAATATGACATATTAGCGTATATGAAGTTTCCGTATATCCAACGTAGATCTTTGTTCAAGTATGGAACACATATTTCAGCAATATTTCAACAGTTACAAACATATATGTGTAACACGAATATTTAAAAGTATGTAATAGAAAGCATCCATATATGGATGAAACATATATATTTTTATTTATAGTTTTTTGCATTTCATTTTGATCTCAGTGTTTATATCAGACAGTATATGTATGATCCATATTTTATTGATGTATGCATTTACCCACCTATCGGACATACATATAAGGTCCATGTCTTATGCATATATCCAATATTATCCTATATTTGATACTTACATTTATGCACACTACCATATATTTTGAAATATATTTACATTTACAGCATTTAGCAGACGCTCTTATCCAGAGCGACTTACAAAAAGTGCTTTGTCTACCAAGAGAAAGTGTCTTTGCTAGTTAGCAATAGGTTATTTATATACAAAGAGGTTAGAGAGAAAGCTGGTCCTGAGCTCAGACACTGCTAGAAACAAAAGCCCATGTTGATACTGAGAGAAAAGGAACAGCATTAAACACAGTGCAGTGCAATACATTACAATAAATACTTAATAGAAATATAAATATACTAAATATTAATATACTGTATTATAATACTAATATACTATACTATAATATACTCTATACTAAATATGTGCCTGACCCTTTATGATATATGTACATATATGGCCTAATATCAGATTTCTGAATGAAATGAAAAATGAAATACATACATTTTTCCCCTTACCCCAAATGCAGTTTAGCCAAGACCAGGGTGGTTCTTTATTTTTAGCAGTGGAGCTACGAGGCTAAGTTATCTTGGCTAATAGTTAAATGGACAAAAGTAAGCTGCATAGCTAAAAACAGTAGCATCCATCATAAAGTCTGAGTTCTGTCCATGTTCTTATATATATATATATATATATATATATATATATATATATATATATATATATATATATATATATATATAGATAGATAGATAGATAGATAGATGTGCTAATCTGTATTTTTCCTCCCTCTCTTAGCCCAGCACTCTTGTAGTCACCAACTGCACTCTTTAAAGGTTCTTCAAGGGTTCTTTAGTAAGGGCAGTGAACCATGAGTTGATTCACTGCCCTTACTAAATAGTTGTAAGCACTTGATGCTTAAATGGATCTTTGCATGTTGAAATGGTTCTTCAGATTGATAGGAAATATGCTGTATATGGTTCTGTGTGTCACCAAAAAAGGTTCTGCTATTGTGAAAATGTCAAGCTTGTAACAACAGCAGAACCCTTTTTTGGTGCTATCTAGAACCATTTTCAAAAATATTCAAAGCATTCTCCATCAATGCAAAGAACCATTTAAACATGAAGTGGTTCTATATAAAACTCATGGTTCTACATAGAAGCACTGTCTTTAGTAAAGAACCCTTGAAGAACCATCTTTTTTAAGAGTGTATATTAACTATATTGTGTGAATCATTTTGCACATTGAAAGAAGTTTCCTAAATGATTCTTATTGTGTTCAGGTTCTTAACTTCACAAAGGTTCTTCACACAGAAATGGTTACAAAAATTATTTTTAAGGACTCAAATCATGAAATCAGATTTTTTTTAATCAAAGACTTTGACGTAGTTTGCAAACAATGTTACAGTTGCCATTTACTCCCAGTTCACACAGTCCATATATGGAAACTAAGCTGAAAAAACAGCCTGTTTTGAATTCACTGTTTTTGTGAAATCACACACCGTCACATTTACATATATCTGCATATTCACAATGAAGTTATAAGGAGTGTTTTGGCCTGGACTGCTTTTTAAATAAGGCAAAATATAGCGCAGCCAATCAGAACAGAAGAGAAAACTTCATAAACATTATAAGTGGACCCTTGAAAAAAACACTAAGATGCAACAAAAATGTAAGAGACAGGCCGTTGAAAGGTTCTTTTAGGGAACCAAAAGTGGTGGCCATCACTCCGAAGAACTTATTTTCAAAACTTTTTCTTTGTTTCTTTTGAGCAATTTTATCTGATCAAATTGTTCCACTGGCAAGTGATTTTGCTTGTTTTAAGCAATATTACAGGCTAAAGTCCATGTGTCAAACTCAAGGCCCATAGGCCATGTCAGGCCCGTGGCACAACCCTATTTGGCCCGAGAAATTATTTTAATTTCCTATTATTTTCAGCCCGATTCACCCTGAGCTGCACTACAGTCCCCAGCATGCACTGCAACAGTGTGCGTTCTGACCCCCCTTCCCCAAAAACAATCTATGGGTCTGCGGTTGCACAAAAAGAAAATATGCCTGGTGTATAGTGTCGGGACCAAGAGCTGTTTGCTTCCTTGCCCAAAGCCCCGACATATGATGGTTTTTAAAATCTGAACTATTCTGTGCTGTGGTTTGGTTCTAATTATTGTCTTTATCACTTACAAAAAATAAACAAAAATAAAATAAACAAAAACAGAAAGGGTATTCAATCAAAAATAAAAGAAAGTAGAATAAAAGACTATCAGCCGCTGAGTTCTTGTGGAAGAGAGAAAAAGGCTTCTTCTTTATTTCAGCATCAGGTGGCACAGGGTCTCGAGAGACC